GGGGGGGGGGGGGGGGGCAAAATGAATCGTCTTTAATCAATATTAGAATTTCATGGTTCACGTGAATTTTCCCTCGTTCTGAAGATGAAAGGAGACCTTTGGATTCTGTCCGCTCTACTTATCTGGATAGAAACCATGACTAATTTTAATGATTAATCTACACGGACGAAAAAATTTAATAGAAAAACCTATCGAATTCGTTAGAAAATTCTATTGAATTTCTATTGAATTGTTCTATTAGTTTTTGGCCGATTCTATTAAAATGTTCAATAGAAAATATTCAGTAGAAAAAGTCAATAGAATTCAATTTTTCTGTATAACTTATTCTATTGAGATATTTTCTATATAAGTTCCTCGGCTCAAATTTTCCAAGTTTTTTCGTTTGATTTTCTTGATGAGAAGAAGAGAAAAATAGAATGAAAAAAACTTCGAAAATTTGAGTCGAACAAATTCTATAGAAAATATATGAAAAGAATAAGTTATATAGAAAAATCGAATTCTGTTGACTTTCTCTATTGAACATGTCAATAGAATTTTCTAACGAATTCAATAGGTTTTTCTGTTAAATTTTTTCGTGCGTGTATGATAAGGGGAATGTTCCAGGAATTTTCTATGTGCCATTTGCAGAACTACTTTTAAGAGATAAAAAGTTGTTTTGAGGATATCGAAGTACATTTTACTGAATTTGAAAAAAATCAGTGAAAATTATTGAAATAACATTTTGCAGAGAATTAGTATTTTTTGAAACATTTGTTGTTCATAAATTATTCGTAAAAAATGCCCGTAATTTTCAAAAATTGCAATTTGTTAATTATTTCATCAATTTTCTTCGAAAAGTGAACTTTCTATTTTTTTTCCGATTTTAAAAATGTTTTCTAGCGGTTCAATATTGAGATTCAAATTCAGATCTGCAAAGTTTAAATAATAAAATCATTGTCAAATGTCTGGAAACTTAGCGCCAAATGGGGCTCAAATGAGGCTCTGATGTTCTAATACAAAGGAGAAATGCATTTCACAAGAATAATGATGACGAATCAACATAATCAAGGCCTACACAAAGCCTACAAGAATGGGATTTAGAAAATTTTCACATTTTCATAAGAATAATAATAGTAAATAAAAATAATTAAGACTCATGAAATTGTGAAGACTCATACTACTTAAATGGCTCTTATAGGAATTTCTAGAATCTCATATACAACGAAACTATGGGATTCTATATAGAATCATCCTATATGAATATTCTATAGAACATCTCTCTCCGATTTTTTGATACGTATGAATCCTACACAGAAGAGGAAAAAAAATCAACACTTAAAAAATGTTTGGAAGAAATTGTTTCATTTGAGCATACAAAATTTCCAAACATGAATAATAAGTTAATTCAATGAATAAAGGGGTCTCATCACTTTGAGAATCCGCATTCTGCGGATAATTTCCCATCCTCTGGTGACGATAGATTGTCTGATAAAAAAATCTGATCCGATGCTGAAAATTTTGGTAATACTTTGTTCATGTTTCCCTCGAGATTTGGAAGACGCAGTATGAACATGTGGATATTTTGGCTCTGCTTTCAACACCGAAACATTTGGCTCAAGAGGCTGATCATTCGCGCGCAGACCGTGCCATTTCAGGATGAGAATGTCTCTCATAAAGTGAAGCTGAATGGAAAATATTTCGATCGAAGTTGCAGAGTTGCTACCACATCGTCATTGTTATTTTCTATTAAAAAATTCATTTCTTGTATTTGAGTATTGACTAGTCGAAACGAGGAGCCAATAGCAATCTCATCAGAGGTAATCATCGACGTGTCAATTTTTTCGTGGAAGTTAGTACTGGGACATTCACCTGATGCTCTCAATTCTTCTTGAAGAAAAAATGAATTGAGTAACGCATAACTTAACGCAAAAGACCTTTGTCACTCGCATCATTCGACCTATATACCTTGCACATTGCGCATCAGTTACGACGTGACATCAATGTAATCCCTCACGTTAGATTTATTAACACTGTAATTCTTCATTCGGTTATTTTCGCACTCAGATTATCTGAGGTTTAAACAAAAATAGAAAAGAATGATGGAGCAGAGCACAACTCTATTGTCGTCATCAGGATACATTTTTTTTCTATAAATTTAGATTAAGACATTTAGGTTAACGTTAAATATGAGTAGGAAGATTAGACCATTATCTGCTCATACCAAAGAGAAGCTACAACCATCAAAATGGCCATTTCAATCCTTTATTTATTGTACATAATGTATGTAATCACACTTTCTTTATAAAAATAGTTTGATCCATTCAATACATGATCCATATGAAAAAAAATCAACTTATCAGATATTTCGATTCAATGAATTTCGTCTATTGGAAGAATATTCATCCTGCATTGTATAACCATACAATATTCAATAAAAAATCATGATTGGAAGACACTTATCATGGAATACGTCTCGGGCTATATTTTTCCTGAAAAAAATTTCCTAGAAAAAACTGCCGTACGATTTCATTTTTCTGTACAATTTTTTCTATTGATACATTTTCCAAGTATTTTTTTCACTTCATTTTCCTTCTCTCTTCATAAAAAAAAATCAAACAAAAAACTTGGAAAATTTGGGACGAGGAATTTCTTCAAAAAATCTCAATAGCACAAGTTGCATAAAAAAATTGAACTCTATAGATGCTGGCTATAGAATATTCTCATTGAACATGTCTCCCAAAATTAAAACGCTCAGATGAGCTGCAGAATTTCACTAGAATCTCCAAAAAGCAACTCAGTAGCTCTTAGCCGCGTTTTCGGGGAATATCTCCGAATCTAGGGGAGATCCGAAATTTTCGTAATGACCTTTTTTGTAGAACAAACTAAGGGCCACAAGAAAGGTCCGTATAAAAATTCTGCCATCTCCCCTAGATTCCGAGATATTCCCCGAAAACCGCCCAATTCCCTAGAATTTCCACCGCATTCGCCAGCCTTTTCCCCGAAATTTATCCGCAGTGTTCTTCTCCTCGCACCCTCCCACCTAAACCCTAAAACCTACAGAAATAATACGTCCCGCTCAGCACCTCCCTAGGACCATAGCAAGCAGAGCCATCCTGACATAGACCCCGCACTCGGCCTGCCTGAAATACGCGGCCCTGGGATCGTTATCGAACTCCGGACTGATCTCAAAGTTCCTGGGCAGAGGATGCATGACCACCATCCTCCTCTTGGCCCTCGTCATGAGCTGAGGGGTAACGACAAAGTGCCCGCAGACCCTATCATACTCTTCCTGACTGTGAAACCTCTCCCTCTGGATCCTGGTCATGTAGAGGACATCGGTGTCGGGCAGGACCTCCTCAAGACTCGAGAATTTCTCCTGAGGCACCCCCCTCTTCGCCACATAATTTATCACATGATCAGGCATGCCTAGACTGGCTGGACTGACATAGCGGAGGTTCACATTGTAGAGGGTGAGGAGCCTAGCGAGAGAGTGAACGGTCCTCCCGTGTTTAAGATCTCCGACCATTGTGATGGTCAAGCCATTGACGGTTCCAATCTCCTCCCGAATGGTAAAGACGTCCAGTAAAGCCTGTGTCGGGTGCTCGCCGACCCCATCCCCAGCATTGATCATGGGTTTTCGGCAGTGCTGGGCAGCCCTGGCCACCGCACCGGGCTCAGGGTGACGGAGGACAACTGCGTCCGCATAACCCGCCATAATGGCTATCGAATCCTCTAAGGTTTCCCCTTTCTTTACGGAGGAGGTGGTCTCATCCATGTGGATGACCTTTCCGCCTAAGCGCTGCATGGCGGTGTCAAAGCTACAGGATGTCCTGGTACTGACCTGGAGATTGATGGGGTTTTGGGATTTTAATCCTGATTTGGTAACTTGTGAGGGTCGATGGGGGCGAATGAGGCTCGTGAGTTTGACCGTTTGAGGGTCAATGAGGTTTTCTGGTTTTTGTAGCTGATTTGCTGCTTGTGAAGGTCGGTGAGTGTGATTGAGGCTCGTGAGGGTCGAATTTACAGGTGGTTTGACCCATTTGAGGGTCAAATGTGAGGTTCAATGAGGTTTTCTGTTTTTGTAGATGATTTGGTGCTTGTGAAGGTCGGTGAGTGTGATTGAGGCTCGTGAGGGTCGAATTTACAGGTGGTTTGACCCATTTGAGGGTCAAATGTGAGGTTCAATGAGGTTTTCTGTTTTTGTAGATGATTTGGTGCTTGTGAAGGTCGGTGAGTGTGATTGAGGCTCGTGAGGGTCGAATTTACAGGTGGTTTGACCCATTTGGCGGTCAAATGTGAGGGTCAATGAGGTTTTCTGTTTTTGTAGATGATTTTGTGCTTGTGAAGGTCGGCGAATGTGAGTGAGGCCCGTGAGGGTCGAATTTGCAGGTGGTTTGACCCAATTGAGGGTCAACTGTGAGGGTCAATGAGGTTTTCTGTTTCTGTAGATGATTTGGTACTTATTAGGGTCAATGACAACAGATGAGGCTCGTCGGGGTCGAATTTGCAAATGGTTTGACTCTTATGAGGGTCAATCTGAGGATCGATGGGTGCGAATGAGGCTCATGAGTTTGACCGTTTGAGGGTCAAATGTAAGGGTCTATGAGGTTTCCTGTTTTTGTAAATGATTTGGTACTTGTGAAGGTCGATAAGTGTGAATGAAGCTCGTGAGGGTCGAATTTGCAGGCGGTTTGACCCATATGAGGGTCAATTGCGAGGGTCAATGAGGTTTTTTGTTTTTGTAGATGATTTGGTACTTATGAGGATCGATTGGTGTGAATGAGGCTCGTGCGGATTGAATTTGTAAATAGTTTGACCATTCTGAGGGTCAATAAGGTTTTTCTGTTTTTAAATCTGATATGGTACGTATGAGGGTCGAAGTTGTAGAGGATTTGACCATTCCAAGGGTCAAAGTGAGGGTCAACAAGGTTTTTCTATTTTTAAACCTGATTTCATACTTATGAGGGTCGATGTGTGTGAATGAGGCTCGTGATGGTCCAATTTGTAGATGCTTTGACCATTTTGAGGTCAAATGTGCGGGTCAATGAAGGTGAATAATGATCGCAGATGTGCTACTTGGCGTTATGTATCAGTCTTATGTATAAGCGTCTCAATTCTTAATATTTAGCTTGTTAAGGGTCAAATTGGATTTTTAGATGATTTGACCCCTTTAAGGGTTAAAAATAAAGGTCAATAAGCATGAATGTAGATAAAAAATGAGTTGAATATCGTTATGGGTCAATGTTTTATGTACATGCCGTTTCAAGGTTCTCAATTCTCAACAACAACGGCTCATAAGGGCCAGTTGTGTCGATTTTCCGATCATTTAACCCTTCTTAAGGTCAAATATGAGGGTGAATAGTAGTCAAAGATATGTTAGATGTCGCTGTCGGTCAGCATATCAGGCACATGGCCATTGTAAAGGTCCATTATCAGTAATTTTCCCGTAAGGGTCAAATTTGTGGGTTTGAGCCTCATAAGTGTTGAGATGTCTTAGTCTTTAAATGTGGCATGCAATCAATCATTCATGCACTGAATAGTGAAAATCATTTGTTACTCACCTCGTAGAAGATCGACGCCATGACCTTTCCCCGTAAAATATTGTCCAGAGGGCGGTCCTTCAGGACGTCCACTCGAAGTGTCTGAGCGAGGTTGAAGATGTCGTTGAGCTGTTCCTTAGTGAACATGTCGGCGGTGAGGATGTGCTGGCCAGCGAGACCATGGTGGGGTGACGGATGATGTCTCACGACTGTTGAGGACTGCAGAAGGTAGTTAGGATCGGTCTTGAGTCTTCCCAGGAGAGGAGACAACGGTCTCGGGGGGATTTTCGACAGGTCTCGAGCCTCGACGTCTGGTCCGAAGTGGACGCCACCCTTCGGTGGGACCGGCTGAAGGAGGTGGGGGTAGAAATCGTTGACTTCGTCAGACTGTGGGGCTGACGCAACGTGTGCAGGATAGGAAATTCCCTTCTCGTAGGTGGGCGAGATGAGTTTGTCGAGGGCAGAGTTGGGACGACTGGTCACGTCGACTGTTGTTGTGTGCAGGATTGGCTGGATCTTCTGGTTTCGTTGGACCTCACGAATGTCCTGGCCGAAACCTGGGGGCACCAGCACCTGGCCCTCGACGTAGGCCACCTCCCCACGGAGGACAACTCGGTGGATTGAGCCACGAATTTTCATTCCTGCGAACGGCGTCCATTTGGATTTTGTGAAGGGCAGGGCTTTTGGAATTGTCCACTCCTCGTCGAGGTCCACTTCCACGTAGGTGTTCGGCTGGGAGGGGATGTTGAAGATACGTTTGGGGTTCGTGTGGAATTTTTCGATTATGTCCTGGAACAATTAATGAGGGGTTTTGGTCGTTTGCACGAAAATACTTCAGAGAAAAATTTGCTATAGAGAATTATTTAGAGAATCCAATGAATCCGTGTCCCTCGTGACCCTATGACCTTTGTAAGTTTTGTGACCCTTGTTTGACCCTCGTGACCCTATGACCTTTTTGAGCTTTTGGCTCAAATTAGGCACCGACTTCGGAACTTCATACAACCCTAATCAATTATCTTATTTTGACATTTTCCCTGTTACGGACCATGCAAATTTTAATATGAAGCTTCAGACTTAAAAATGCAGCACACGCACTTTTGAGATAGCAAAATTATCAAGATTATCCGGGGAATCACCACTACCTCGAGTCGTTATTTATCGCAGGCCCCACTTGCTCGGCAAAATGTGACTCTTACAGGAAATGCGATAAATCATTTTGCCTCCCAGCAGCTTTACAACTGTTTTTCTCCAATAGTCTTCATCGCGTTGTGAAGAAAAAATATGGATGACCATCGTTGCGTTTCAACGTTCAAGATTAGTCGCGGATTGAAACGATTAAACCCACTGGTATGTAGCTGATAAGAATTCCCACAAAAATACGAGTGACGTAAGACTACATAGACTAGAGCACCATTTGATATCAGGGAAAAGTGTTTTATCATTACCTCGATTGTGAGTCTGCCTTCGTGAACAGCATTCAGGAGGAGTGGAAGAATTGTCTCGAGACCTGGGTAACCCGGAGGTGCTTTCTCGCCATCTTTCTCTTCGACTGTGTGAGGAGCTGATGAAAAAAGGGCAATTAGAATGATTACAATATTTTCGGTGGAAAGTGCAAACTCATGTATTCATTTCAGTTAAAATGCTTCAATTATACTGAATGAATACATAATTAATTAAATAATCAATTAATTATGTAATCAATTATACAATAAATTTAAAAAATTGATAAAAAAAAAATTAATATTAATAATTATTAATTATTATATAATTAATTAATTAATTAATTACGTTTCTCAGTAATGAAGTCTTTATTTGGAAGCATTTCACTGTATTTAAGAAGTGAAGTTTAAATTTAAATTAAAGAATCATGAGCTATTTCAATCAATTAATTTTTTAAGTAAAATATAATTTATTATAAATAAAAATCTTTTTTATTCAGTTCAAAGGAAATGTTTTAATTAATTGTCTTTAGATATAAATAAATACGTAAATATGTAAATTAATAAATGAATGACTAAATGAATGAATAAATTAATTAATAAATAATGGAATATTACCATGATCTGTAGCGAAACAATCGATGATATCGATATTATCCCAGAGTGCTTGTTGATCCTCTGGAGTCCCCAGAACAGGTCTGACTTCACCCCTGGCAGCTCCAATCTTTTCCAGATCATTCTGGGTTAAAAACAGATGGTGAGGGCTCACTTCGCATGTTACATTGAGACCAGATTCTTTAGCTGCACGAATTATCTGGATCTCCTCCTTTCGTGCAACGTGACAGATGTGGACAGGTCGATTGTATCGACTGGCCAAGACCAAGACAGTGGCAGTGATGTGGCCCTCGGCGTGAACACAGAGAGGATATTTCCGAGGCCAATTTTCGAAGTGCTGTAGGTGATAAAAACGCAGAAGTTTAATGAAAAAACGATGAATTTCATACGACTGATGTAGTTACAATTTTTAAAAATCATTTATCATTTAAAGATAATTTATTATTTAAAAATAATTAGTGGTATTTTATGACGTTAGCATACCTTCATCCAATCACTGACATCCTTCAGTCTCAATGTCGTAAACGTCTCGTTCAGATACATTTTTAGGGCAGCTGCCATCGGTGCAATCTCAGGGATTGTTGTGGAATTACTCGAGGATGCACCCACGAAGAGGGCATAGTCACAACGAGCACCAGCACTTGCACACTGTGAATGAGTATTCAAAACAAAATTTACATTCATTGGAAGTTAAAAAACAAAATCTTAATTTAGCTTTTTAAAAAACAAAATTTAACAAAAAAATTCTGTTTTTTTTAAATCTATTCTTTTGCGAAATTTTTATGTGTTTATTTTTAATAGAAATTTTTTATGAAAAAATATTGTGTATCAGAATTCTATACAATTTATTCTGCTCGAATTATCTCTATAGAATTTTTTCAACCTAAATTTTCCAAGTTTTTTGCTTCATTTTTTCAATTAAAGAAAGCCAAAAAAGAGGTGAAAAAAAAATGGAAAAATTTATGGTGTGGAAATTCTATAGGAAATATCTTGATAAATTAAGTTAGAAAAATGAAAATTTTAATTTTTTTCCGTAAAATGTTTTCCCTTTTTTTCTTTTCAATTTTTTTTTCTATAGTGTTCTCTACGTTTTCCATTCCCTATCTTTTCCATTCTTATTTCCAATGAGATCACATACCTCTTTAGCCACCGAAAAGGACTGGTGATCAATAACCGCCGGATTGGTATTGGGCATTGCGAATATCATAGTGACACCGCCAGCTAGAGCAGCTGCTGTGCACGAGGCAAAGTCCTCCTTGTGCGTGGCACCTGGATCACGAGTGTGCACGTGCACATCGATGAAGCCAGGGAGCCTGAGGATCCTTCGAGAGGACATACAGTCGGTGTGGGTCTTCATTCGTGGCGCTCGACCTCCCAGTTTGTTGATTGCCTGCGGAAAATAAATTATAGGAGATTGATGTTATGACTGGAATGGACAAGAGTACCAACTAGATAAATTGAACCGCTGTACCGACGATATATACAGATCAGTGCAGTAATGAACATTTTTGGTTTGTGGAAGTTGGATTGATTGAGGAGAATTATATTCTGAATATTTGTAGTATTTTTTTGTAGTAATTTGTAGAATTTCGAGATGTTGATAAAATAAACGAATTCAATGGAAGTTGTTGATAAAATAAATCAACTCAATGAAAAAATCGAAAATATTTTAACATATTGTTAGAAATCCTATTCAGAATTGAATAGTTTTCTCTTTTTTTCCCATTCCTTATCTTTTTTTAATTTTTAATAATTCAATTTTTTTTATTTTTTATTTTTCACGTCATTTCCCTCGTCCAGTCATCCATCTCTTCATTTTCCAAATGTGTTAAATTTCATTTGAATGAAAAATTCTCAAAAATGTAATAATTCCCCATGTGGATCAAACAAATCGTTCATTTCCTTCGAATGAATCATTTCTCTAAAAGTAGTCTCAAGCCTGACGTAATCTATCATCACGAATCATAATTCTGATCAACTGGTCATCACTTGGAAGATCTACGATTATGTAAAGACAGTTTTAATCGATCTTTTATTGATTTATCCTGGATTTCAATCCCTTTCTGAAAACGCACTTTCGATAAATCAACGGCGATAATGCCTCAAGAGTTTGAATGCCACTGAATTTTGACTCACGTCCACCAGCATCTTTGCGCACTTGACATCGGTCACCAGCGGCACAGAGTAATCAACCGCGAGCCTGCGAGTTCGATACCCGTGAGTCATGAAGTTGGAGACCCTCCGGGCTCCGCCGTTGCGCATCGGCAGATTTATCACCAGATCGAAGTGCTTTTTCGAGAGAAAGTCGGCTAGATGACGAAGCTCACTGGGACTTGAGTCCTCGTTGACGTCGATGTTCTCGAAGGTCCATTGTACTGGCTCCACCTGAATCCAAATCAAAAGAATTAAAATCGTACTTCCTTACGCGCCCCCCATAACTACATTGGTATCAACATAGAGAACTGATGAAACAAATCAGTATTAAGGGGACACCACGGCCGAAAAAATTTAGTAGAAAAATCTATCGAATTTGTTAGAAAATTTTATTGAATTTCTATGTAACTGTTCTATTAGTTTTTGGCCGATTCTATTGAAATGTTCAATAGAAAATGTTCAGTAGAAAAAGTCAATAGAATTCAATTTTTCTATACAACTTATTCCATTCAGATATTTTCTATAGAATTTCCTCGGTTTAAATTTTCAAAGTTTTTTCGTTTGATTTTCTTGATGAGAAGAAAAGAAAAATAGAATGAAAAAACTTAGAAAATTTGAGTAGAGCAAATTCTATAGAAAAAATATCAAAAGAATACGTTACATAGAAAAATCTAATTCTGTTGACTTTTTCTATTAAATGTTTTCTATTGAACATGTCAATAGGATCAGACAAAAACTAATAGAAAGTTTAATAGGAATTCAATAGATTTTTCTATTAAATTTTTTCGTGCGTGACTACTGTGAGGTTTAAAAGTCGTGGGTTATTGGAGTGAGACTTTTCATACGTTGAAGATCGATTATATAGATCTGAAAACGAATAATTAGTGCAAAAAACAATTTTTTTAATTGTTCGTTTGCCCGAAAACGCTTGAAATGCTACAAACAGTCCGGGGCCTTCTCCAATTTTTGAGCTAGAAAGGATTTTTTTTTTCAAAATGTTCGGAAAAATGTGTGGAACAACAATTACGAGCCAGTTTTTTAGAATTCGACTCCTACACAGCTGATTTCGGGTTTTCATGTAAAACAATTCACTATTTGTGAAAAAAATACGAAACAATTCTTCCATTCGGAAGCAAAAAGCAAATTTATCTCAAAATTTGCCGATCTCTGAAATTTATCTCAAATCAGTCGATGACCCATTGATTAATTTAGCAAACTATCTCCATGAAGTTATGAATTTTGAGAGAGCAGAGAAACTGTTTGAAGTCATAATTTCCATTTTCCCTTCTTTTCATTTATAATACTATAATAATAATATAATTCATTCAATTATTAATTATTTAAAATAATCAATTAATTATTAATAATTATTAAGTAAGGGTATACGGAATGATTTTTGTATCACATAGATAATCCAAATTCTATCAGGTTTCTATTGAACTTTCTATTGATATATTTTCAATAGAAATTCCTCGGCTCAAATTTCCCAAGTTTTTTCATTTGATTTTGTTAATGAAAAAACGAAAAAAAAAATGGAGTGGAAAATTCATATTGAGGAATTCTATCGATCTTCCCTATAAAATAATTTCTATTAGATATTTTCTGTAAAAAAAAACGCAGTAAAGATGCGAAATTTCTCAACTCAGAATTCACAAGAGGAAATCAATAACAAAAAATGAAATACAAAGAATTATCAAGAAGAAATCAATTGATCAATCAAGGGCGATTGAAATATAAAAAATCCAATTAACTTCTCTCAAAAATCTTCACAATACCAATAACTTCAAGTGGCATTTTTCTTTAAAAAACACCGCAGTAAATTCTCCAGCAGAATTATCAAGAAGAAGTTAATTACTTAATGAAGAGCAATTGAAATAAAAAAAGTAAAATTAATTTTCCCCAAAAATCCTGGCAATCCCAACCACTTCCTCATCAATATGGCCGCAAGACCCCCAACAGACTAAAATCAGTCGATAACCCATCGATTAATCCAGCAAACAATCTCCACCAAGAGATGAATTTCAAGATAACAGGAAAATGTTAGAACCAATCGTTTCCCGTTTTCATTTTCTTCCGCACGATTGTCAACTCGTTATCATCAGAGAATTGCTGAAGGTATTCTTCAAAGATTTTTCGTGTGAAAATATTTTTTCAATTTTTTTTTTTATCAATATCTGATAATAACTGGCCAATCGCCGACACAGTGAATGATTCGATAACGTGATGGCTATTTATCGCAAGGTATCTAGCACGATTAATGGTACGAATTGAGTTTTAGTGTCCGATGAGCGACCGTGACTAGTTCAGTCGGTTGTTCACGTTCAATTCGAGTTCATTAAACCGTATTTTAAGTATTAAACAATGAATTGTGAATATTTAGATTGTGCCGGACTCTAGCGAATGATAATTAGCTAATTAGCTAGGGGGACGATCAACAGTTGTTAGTAGATGCCAGATATACTCGGGATTTTATTAAAATTAGAAATGGGAAACAGAACGTCTAAACGGAAGAATGAAAATGCCCCGAAAATGCCCCAGAGGAGGGATTCGAGTGACTCGGGGGATGATGATTATTTCGATCAGATTTATCGGGAGTGGGAGGACGATGCGGAACTGAGGATGATGAGGAGGCATATTGAGCGGGATCCCGAGGTCTTCATCCTCAATAATCTCATGATGTCGGGACAATTCTTCGAGAATTTCGAAGAGTAAGATCATTTTCAGGTGTTCAGTGGCAATTTGTGATTAGTTTTTTGTGGATATCTTAGATTCAGTGGAGATAGCGGCATTTCTCAATACAGCCAGAGAAAAGTTGGATAAAAATTAATTCGGAAATCGTGAAAAATTTTATTGTACGACAGGCATGGTCAACGATCATGGAATTCATTGATATCAAGAGAATATGAGCTTTACATGAAGGATATCCCAGTACTTTTGCCGCTTTTTCTCTAGTGCAATGCTCCCCTCGCCAACCCCCATATGACCCCCATAATGATTAAGGGTCAGACCCTTGTGACCCTTAATTTGATCCTCGCGGCCCTCATTCAATCTCTCGTGACCATTAATCTGACCCTTGTACTCCTTAATCTGACCTTGTGGCCCTTAATCTAACCCTCACAGCCCTTAATCTGACTCCTGTGACCCTTAATCTGGCCCTTGTGACCTTAATTTGAACCTCGTGACCCTTAATTTAACCCTCACAACCCTTAATCTGACTCCTGTGACCCTTAATCTGACCCTTGTCACGTTAATTTGAACCTCGTGACCTTTAATCTAACCCTTGCAACCCTCAATCTGACCTTGTGGCCCTTAATCTGACCCTTGTAACCATTAATCTGACATTGCGGCCCTTAATCTGACTCTCACAACCCTTAATCTGACGTTGTGGCCCTTAATCTGAGCCTCATAACCCTTAGACTGACTCCGGTGACCGTTAATCGGACCCTCACAACCCTTAATCTGAACCTCGTAACCCTTATTCTGACTCTCATATCCTGATTCTAACTCTCATGACCATTATTTTGACCCTCTTGACCCTTTTGACCCTCAATCGTGGAGTCATAATTTCGAGTACCAAATTTTTATTACCCGAAGTCGATTTGGATTTTTGAAATATAGAGAGATTATTCAAATTTTGGAGGGCTGAATTTGAATCTCGATATTGAACCGTTAGAAAACACTTTAAAAATCTGAAAAAAAAATTAAAAAGATCACTTTTGAAGAAAAATTTATGAAATAATAAAAAAATTACAATTTTTGGAAATTACGAGCATTTTCTATAAATAATTTATAGAATAAAGTTCTTCGACATAATTTTTTGAATTTTTTCCACTTTATTTAACTTTTCTTTTCATGAAAAAATCAATGTAAGAAATTGAGAAAAAATTTGAGATAATTTTTTCGTACAATTTTTCTTGTTAGTAAATATCCCCTCGCATAACTCCGATTCACACATTTTTTCATTGCATCTGATTTTGAAATCTGATATTAGATGAAATCAAAGGATCAATTGGCGATCCATTAATGAAACTAAAGTAATAATTGAGAGCGATCTTATAAGTGTAATCATATCTTCTTTTTTGATATCTAATCGAACGAATAATGAAAAGAATACTCAATTTTCAGAGAACGCGTTCGATTAGCGTTATAACAACCCAAATTTTTCTGCGAATAGATGAAAGATTTCTCCGAAATTGTTTCAGGGAGATGTCGAGAATTCGCGAGACACCTGTGTCTGTTCGCGAAGCGGAAATGAACTCCCTTCTGCATTCGCAGAAGCATGCGCTCATGCCGGATGTATTGCAGGAACAAGTGGCGAATAAAGTGGACTTCATCTATGAGAGGCCGGGTCAGATATTCTCCATCGAGCCACTCCAGCCGATTCGGATCTATATTGTTTTTAATAATATTGAAGTTACAGAGGAGAATTTTCCGTCTCCATACTGCACTGTTGATGAGACAGTTACTTACAGCATGCAGTTGAAGCAGAGTAAACATAAAGGTGAAATGTCAATTTTTAAAAGGAGAGAAATAACATCATCCACGAAAAAATTTTCATAGAAAATTTTATTGGATTTCTATTTAACTTATTAATTGAACTTATTGGATCCCTATTTGTATTAATTTTTGGTCTATTCTAGTGAAGTGTTTCATAGAAAATACTATGTAGAAAAAATCAATAGAATTCAATTTTTCTATTGAAATATTTTCTATAGAATTTCCTCGGCTCGAATTTTCTATTTTTTTAATTGTATTTTTCTTTTTTTTTCAGCAAGAAAATTTAAACGAAAAAATTCAGAAAATTTGAGCCTAGATTTTAGAGAAAATATCTCAATAGAATAGGTTGCACAGAAAAATCGAATTCTATTGATTTTTTAAATAAAATATTTGCAATTGAATATTTCAGAGGAAGTTCAACGGAAATCCAATAGAATTGTCTAGGGAATTTGCTAGGTTTTTATATGAAATTCTCTCGTACGTGATTTTTTTTCAAAAAAGACTCATCATCGAGATAATTCGATACTAATAAGTCGCGATAAATGATATTAGATTTTTGGTCGATGATATTGAAGAATTCAAGTTTTACTGCGTGATCAATTTTATCGAAAGAGTTCTATAGAATTTCATCATTTTATACAATTTTTTCTATTGATATATTTTCTACAGGAATTCCTGGACATGAATTTTCCCAGCTCTTGCCACTTTATTTTTCTTTTTTTATTTGAAAAATTAAACAAGAAATCTTGTAAAGATTGAGCGGAAGAATTTCTACAAAAAATATCTCGATAGAATAAGTTGTATAAAAAAATCAAATTCCTTCGATTTTTTTATGGAATATTTTCCGTTGAACATTTTTGATTAAAAAAATGCGCAGATGCGTTGCGGAGTTGTTTAACCGAATCGCCTCAACACTAATAAAGTTCAACAGAAATTGAATGCAATTTTCCTGCAAATTCCTCAAATCATTTTTTCTCAATTAATTACCACTAATTATCTAGAGAAGCCTCGAACTGAGGAAAAAAACTCATAAGACTTTTTTTGTAGCTCGAAAAATTTCTGCCAAAAAAGGTTCTCTACCATTTTCCCCTAAAGCTACTCACCATCAAGATAATCCCAAATTTCTCCAAGCCCAAAAAATCCTGTAGTCTCATCACATTCACCAGACCCTTCCGCCATCTCCACTAAGAAATAAAAAAAACCTCCTCCTCAGGTTACGCCCTCCTCCAATGTCTCGAGGTGAACCCCTCCCGTAGGAAGACAGCCCCACCGGAAGAGCCGGCCGACAGCGACGTGGAAAGCCTCTACTACACCAACAGTAGCGCCTCAAAGCGCTCCGACAAGTCGTCCCCGGGAAACCCCTTCAAGTCTCCCGCCTCCGAGAGCTCAGAAGCCTATTCATCCCGCGACCTCTACGACTCCCAGACCTCCAAAAAGCCCGCAAGCCACCAATCGCTGCAGAACCTCTCAAAAATCCAGCAGACGCCGTCATCGGGCAGTCCAGCTGAGAGCACGAGTTCTGGCTACCGCTCAGGTCATTACACGATCGACAGCGACAGCGACACTGGCTACGGCGGCCTCTACCCCAAATCCTCGCGATCTACCTCAGAAATCCCGAAGACATGCTTCATCTACACGACGAACGACCAGATCTACGGGACAAGAAAGGAGAAACGACAGAAGCTAAACCAGAAAGACCGAGTCATCAGAGGAGTGATTCACAGCCGAATCTACGAGGTCTGGTACCTAAACTCTCGCAAATTCATGGACCACTTCTACGAGCACTTCACGAACGACCTAGCGGACACAATGGGCTTCGACTCAAAAATCCAGGACGAGCCCCAGGGGGCGATAATCTACCGCGACAAGCTTGAGCTGTTCGAGTCAACGACTTGTCTGAGAGACGAACAGTTCGCAATCACTCCTTGTGTCTGGTCGACCTGGCCGGAGATGGCACACGAGTGGCTTGAGCGGCCTCGAGCCGACTGGCCAGAGTACGAGATGATCGAGAAGATCAAGGAGAGCGGATGCCACCTGATCCCCGAGGGCTACAGCTCAGAGAGATCTAACAACGATTTTCAGAGTCTCGAGTGGCAGGTGGTGTTCCCGGCGGCCGAGAGGTTCCTCGAGACCTGCATGAGCCATCCGCAGGTCAGGGTTTACGTGATGGCGTTGATCTTGCAGAAGACGTTTTTCAGACCAATCGAGTCAGTCGTCGGGCTTGGGGGCGCGCACATACGGAATCAGCTGTTCTGGCTGATCGAGGAGGACGACAGACCGGTCAGATGGCTTGAGAGTCGATCTGGGGAGAATCTGCTGAAGCTGCTTAACTGCTTGTACAAGGCGATCAGCCAGGACGAGCCTGTCCTACCGGATTACTTCCTCAGGGAGAAGAACCTCTTCCAAGGGAAGATCTATCTGCTGAGGACGCAGAAGCAGCTGAAGCGGATCATCGAAAATCCTGTGATGTACGTTCTGCATGCTTTGCAGAATATCAGGCACAGCAAGAGGTTTTTTCCGGTGATGGATTCAGCGAAGTTGCTGAGGATACTGACGGAGGACGTGCTGATGATCATCAATCCGAGGATTGCGGGGAATGGTGTCGGCCTCGGAGTCGACGGAGAGCCGGAGTATGGACCGGGGTATGGGCTCTGGGATAGTGAGAGGAAGAAGAAGGAGAGGAGGAAGGTGTATGGGACGAGACCCGGCGTGAGGAAGAGTTTGATTGATGCCAAGCAGTCGGCTGATCAAGTTGTGGAGATTGAGGTGAGTTGATTTTGAGGGGTTTTGGGAGAGGATTTTTGGAGGATTTATGGAATGATGATAGGAAACGGGGCGCGCTTCGTGGATGAAGTCCGCGTAACAAACAAAAGAGAATTGAATACCATTCTATGAAGCATGAATAAACGAATCATAATTGTCCAAATAATTTAGGTCAGAGGAAAGTAGAATAATTCTACTTTCTTAATATTGCGTTTACTAAGGTTTTCTTCGAACAAAGTTGATTAGAATTAATAGCTAGAATTATGAGATTATCTCACATTTTTGACGTTGAGAATAGGAGAATCATTCATTCTAATATGAAAATTTAATAGGTGATAGATTGGGACATGCAGCCAAAATAACCAGATCATCTCCTGTTAACAGGTTCGATGTGCCGAATTGGACCAGCGTAGACTCGACCTCGTCCTGAATTTCTTCATCCTCCACTTCATAGAAGTAGCCGAGTGCTACCACGACTACCGAGCCCAGCCCCAGAAGACGATGTTCGTAGAGCACGCGGAGAGGCTCTCAGTCTTGTTATCAGAGAACTCCAACCACCGAGGCGCCGCCAGGACCTACCTAGATAAACTCAAGGCCCTGAAGCGAAGGGTCATGAGTTCAAAGCCCCAGAACGAGCCGCCGGCGACGCCTCAGAGGAACAGCGATCGACCGATCTCCACAGCCCTTCTCAAGGATTGCTACGAATCCCAATCAATCTCCGCTGACTCTCAACAAATACTTCGGACTCCCACACCCGCACGAAGTTTCGATCACAAAAATGGGGAATCAACGAGTGCTTGCAAGCTCGATCCAGCCCCGGGGGGTCGCAAACAAGTGACAATTGCGGTTGTCCACGAAGATGATTCCGAAGGCGAAGGTGTGGAATTGAGAAATGCTCAAGGACGTCAGGGGAAATCGAAGACGAACCGGGTCTTATCGCTCACAGAGAGTACGAAATCTTCATTCGCGGCGCAGGATACTTATATTTAACGATTGTACCTTTAATCATTACGGCACAATTCATTATACCATTTAATTACGGCACAATTTATGACAGCATATATCATTACAGGAACATTTCATTACAGTACAGTTCATCACAATTGCAACGGAGCCATCGCTTACCATTTTTTTCAGATGATGTAGTACGAGCAAGAGTATTACAATGATGAGGAGTCGTGTAATCCACGCATCACCATAAAACCACTTTAGTCACAGGATGCTCACGCAACTTATTAAACAAAAAACCCTTATGGTACAACAATTTCTTGCCCCTCTGGCTCAATACAAAATGGAGAGGCATTTCAATAACCACACAACACTGAATCCGTGCGATAAATGGCACGTGGCTAGGTACATGAGTCCACTGCGATTTATCGCAGGTACCTCACCCCCCACCGTGAATTTCTATTCAAAGGAAATACACAGAAATAAACCACACACCAACAGAGAAAATCATCGTGTTTACTTTCAAATGAGAAGAAAATACAAACAGCCTCGAATTTATATGTCAATTGATGAATCCCGCAATAATAAAAACTTTCGTAATGAATTGTCCATATGATGAAAAATGCTATAATGAATTGTCCCCGTAATGACTTGACCATATGGTGAAAAATGCTATAATGAATTATCCCCGTAATGACTTTTTGTAATGAAATGTGCCGTAACATTACACGACTGTAATGAATAGAGGTGATACCATATTTAACGAATATTTGTACTATTTCGTGAATTTTGTAAATAATTACATCATAATAAACGCATAAAATTTTTAGTTTCCAATTCTCAATTTTTGTCATTTATTGTATTTATTCTATCGAAAGACAAGGATAGAAATCGATTTTATGAGTATTCTTTCATTATTCGAAAAAATATATCGATTTTAAAACTTTCCGGAGACATTAAAAAATTAGTTTTTTATTTCTTCAAGCGTTACGTTTTACCACCGTCACCCCGCCTACGTGAGATTTATCGCTTTTATCAACTATCACTTGATCTTATGAACAAGTGATTTTAAGAGAAATATCAGAAGATATCATTTTTTGTTTTTTTTTTCATCACATTTGGCCGGACTGTGAAAAATTATCTCATGCTTATTATAGAAATTGTTAGACTTACCTCAACTCCATGCTCCGTGTAGAAATCAGCAGTTCCCATACTAGCGTATAGCTTGTACCCCATCTTGTTCAGACTTCTGATAGACGATAGTAATTCCATTTTGTGCTGAAAACATAAGATACTTTCATTAGATTTACGAATATGAATCTCTTTGCAACGTAACATCTCAAAGATTGCATGACTTTTGGTTGATTTTCTTGATGAGAAGAAAAGAAAAATAGAATAAAAGACTTGAAAATAACTGAAGTTTCTCTATTAAATGTTTTCTACCTTTCAATAGAATCGGCCAAAAACTATTAGAAAGTTCAATAGAAATTCAGCAGAACTTTCCAACAAATTTGCTAGGTTTTTCTATTACATTCTTTCGTGCGTGTAATAATGTGAATAATTCATAAGATTCATTCATAACACTTACGTTATATTTTCGTTTTCCCTTACGGGATATTTGTATCTCACGGAAATAATAAATTGTTTCAAATCCCAAAACTCACCTTAAAGCTCCCAATAGACAGGAGAATGCCCTTCTGCGGGATGTAGAACCCAGTGCTCATCATGCCTTTAAGATACGCCTCATACCGGTCATCGCCGAAGCAGGCGACCTCTCCCGTGGACGCCATCTCGACACCAAGCGTGACATCCGCCCCCGCGAGCCTCGAGAACGAGAACTGGGGGACCTTCACCCCCACCTTTCCACAACCCGCGAGAATATCCACAGGATCCACAGTCTCCCCCACCATAATCCTGGTCGCCATCGCCACAAAGTCATGATCCAACGTCTTCGAGACAAACGGAAAAGACCGCGACACCCTGACATTGCACTCGATGACCTTCAGCTCATTATCCTTGGCGATGAGCTGCATGTTAAAGGGCCCGGTGACCTCCAGCGACGCCGCGATCGCCCGCGAGATGACCTTGATCTTCGCGAGGGTCTCAGGATTGATGTCCTGCGGGGGCGTCACCAGGGTGGCATCCCCCGAGTGCACCCCAGCGTTTTCCACATGCTCCGAGACAGCCATGCAGAGGATGACGCCGTCATACGCCACAGCGTCGACGTCGATCTCCTTCGCCTCGAGTATAAACTTCGAGATGACGACGGGATGTTCTTTCGAGACATCACTTGCGTTCTTGAGGTAGGACTCGAGGTCCTGATGGGAGTGGGCGACGTTCATGGCGGCCCCACTGAGCACGTAGGACGGCCGCACGAGACAGGGGTAGCCGACCTCCTCGCAGAACTCGATGGCAGACGTGAGGTTCGTCAGCTCCTTCCACCGCGGTTGTGATATCCCGATCCTGTCGAGCATCCGCGAGAACTTGAAACGGTTCTCAGCCCCGTCGACCGACTCCGGGGAGGTGCCCAGGATTCTGGCCTGTTGCCTATGCAAATCCATAGCGATGTTGTTCGGCAGTTGTCCGCCCATCGAGAGGATCACGCCCTCCGGGTTCTCGTTGTCGTAGATATCCATGACGACTTCGAACGATATCTCCTCGAAGTAAAGTCTGTCGGACATATCGTAATCCGTGCTCACGGTCTCGGGATTGTAATTGATCATGATGGTCTTCCTCCCGAGGTTTCGCAGCTCCCGAAGACAGCTGACTGCGCACCAGTCGAACTCCACGGAGCTGCCGATCCTGTAGACCCCCGATCCTATGACCATGGTGTAGCCCCCGGGGAAGTCAATGTCGTGGGTCGATCCGTTGTAAGTCAGGTAGAGGTAGTTTGTTGTGGCCGGCCACTCGGCAGCCACCGTGTCGATCTGCTTGACGAACGGCCAGATGTTGAACTCCTTTCGCTGCTTTCGAACAGCTAGCTCAGCGCTCTTGACAGCGACCGCAATCTGCTTGTCGGAAAAGCCGATCTTTTTGGCCCCCAGGAGGATCGAGTGGGAGAGCTTCTCGGGGCCGATGGACTCGAAGAGCTCATAGTACGAGATTATGTTCTGCATCTTGTGGAGGAACCAGCGGTCGATCTTCGTGAGTTCGTACAGACGATCGATGGAGTAGCCGGCCTTCATGGAAGCAGCGAGAACGAACATTCGTTTGTCCGTGGGTTTCTCGAGTTCCTCGTCGTTCAGGGGCTTCAGGTTGGGGTCGAAGCCGTTGACATTCTCGTCGACCATCCTAAGGGCCTTCTGGAAAGCCTCCTCGAACTTCCTACCGATGGCCATCACCTCCCCGACGCTCTTCATCGAAGATCCGATCTTCGTGCTGACCCTTTGAAACTTGCTGAGATCCCACCTGGGGATCTTCACCACGCAGTAATCGAGGCTGGGCTCGAAGCAGGCTGTCGTCTTTCCAGTGACGGAGTTGCTTATTTCGGGAAGGGGAATCCCCAAAGCCAATTTGGCTGCCACGTAAGCCAAAGGATACCCCGTGGCCTTGCTCGCGAGAGCAGAACTCCTAGACAACCTTGCATTCACTTCGATGATGTAGTACTCCTCGGAGAGAGGGTTGAGGGCGTACTGAATGTTGCACTCTCCTACGATCCCAAAGTGCCTGATCACCTTGATAGCCACCGTCCTAAGCATATTGTACTCCCTGTTGGACAGGGTTTGACTGGGAGCTACGACAATTGACTCCCCGGTGTGAATCCCCAAGGGATCGACGTTCTCCATATTGCAGACGGTGATGCAGTTGTCGTAGGCGTCCCTTACGACTTCGTACTCGACTTCCTTCCACCCTTTCAGGGACTTGTCGATGATCAGCTGGCTGGAGTGGGCCAATGCCTGCTGCGCAAGGATCCTCAGCTCATCCTTAGTGTTCGCGAATCCCGATCCTAAACCTCCTAAGGAAAACGCGGCCCTAGCCATCACTGGGTACTCCAGTTTTTCAGCCGCTTCGAGGGCTTCTTGGATGGAGTAGACGGCCGCACTAGGGGCTACTTTCTCCTGGATCTCGCTGATTTGGTCGGAGAAGATCTTTCTGTCCTCGGTATCGATTATGGATTTAATCGGGGTTCCTAGGATTTTAATCCCGTATTTGGAGAAGACGCCGGACCTCTCCAGTTCGACCCCGCAATTTAACGCTGTTTGACCACCGAATGTTAGAAGGACGCCGTCAGGTCGCTCTGACCGTATCACCTGCTCGACGTATTGGGGAATTATCGGCAAGAAGTAGATCTTGTCAGACATTCCTTTCGACGTTTGCACGGTGGCTATGTTCGGGTTGATCAGGACGGTCTGAATGTTCTCTTCTTTCAAAGCTTTCACGGCTTGCGACCCCGAGTAGTCGAACTCCCCAGCTTGACCGATAGATAGACCCCCCGACCCTAGGATCAGGACTTTTTTCGGTCTCGTGATACTGTCTTGTTCGGGCGGAATGTATTTCAGTTTCTTTGTAAGAAGCTCTTTGAGCAAAACTCCTGAAGGAACTTTGCCCTTTCCTACGCGTTCGTTCGACATTTCTATGAAGACGTCGAAGAGGCATTCGAGGTCTTGGGGACCTGCCGTGTGCTCCGGGTGGAACTGTACGGAGAAGTGAGGGTGCGTCGCGTGGATGATGCCTTCGTTCGAGCTGTCGTTGGCGTTCGTAAAGAGGACCTCCCAGCCTTTCGGCAATTGGTCGACGTCAACCGCGAAACCGTGGTTCTGGGAGGTCATGTAGCAGCGGTTGGTGCCACTGTGGATCGCGGGCTGATTGTGACCGCGGTTGCCGTAGGGCATCTTGTAACTCTTGCAGCCGGCTGCCAGGGAGAGGAGTTGGTGGCCCATGCAGATGCCGAAGACGGGGGTGGTGGGGCTCGCGGACAGGAACGACCGGAGGTTTTGGATGGTTTTGAGGCACATGCTAGGATCGCCGGGACCGTTGCTCAGGAAGAGACCGTCGAAGGGGAGGGAGGAGAGGTCGTGGTCCCAGGGGACGACCGTTACCGAGGCCCCGCGGTTTAGGAGACAGCGGATTTGGTTGTATTTCAGACCGCAGTCCACCACGCAGATCTTGGGGCTGCCTTGGGGGTTGTACGTTTTTGGGGATTTCTGGGGAAGAACAAAATTTCTTCTTTTTTTTTTGTTCTTTTTTTGGGAGAGTTGATTTTTTTTGCAAAAGGGTTTGAGGTGAATGGCTTCTATTGGTCGAACGCGCAGGAAAGGATCTCAATTTTTCAGAGAATAGAAGTTCTAAGAGAAGTAGAATAGAATTTTCAAGCAAATGTTTAAAGTTTCTGTTTTTGGAGTGAGAGAATTAAAAAATTTAAGGGGAAAAAATGAAAATTTATGCTAAGGACTCGTTGCAATGGAAATTATTTATTCTTTTGAGCCGAAATGTGGTATAAATGAATTTGAGGGAGTGAAAAAAAATCACCGGAGGTTGGATTTGAACCCACGATCCTTAGGTTTCCAGACTGAATTTTAGCACGTATGGCTATGCACTCGGTTAGAAACGAGCTCAACAGAATAAGTTGCATAAAAAGGTCAACATCTATTGATTTGTTCCATAAAATGTTCCCAATTGAATATTTTCCAGGCATAATTTTCTAGAAAATCTTTTTTTATGCTTCTGTTTTTTATATTTAAAAAAATGCAAAATGAAGTGAAAAAAGCTTGGAAAATTTATGCTGGGGACTCTTTACAAAAGGAATAATTTCTTATTTTGGGCCAAAATATGGTTTAAATCAATTTGAGGAAGTGAAAAAAAAATCACCAGAGGTTGGATTTGAACCCACGACCCTCAGGTTTCCAGTCTGAACTTTTCACACATGTCTATACACTCGCCTAAAAAATATGACAACAGAATAAGTTGTATAAAAACTTCAACAATTATTCATTTCTTTCATAAAATGTTCTCAATTGAGCATTTTCCATCGAAAAATTGAACATTTTCTATCGAAAAATTGAGAAACTTTTCTGCGCACTTTTCAATACAACTGAAAAACCAATAAAATTCTCCATTGAATTTTACTATACAATTTTTTTTACTGAAAAGAGGAATTATTTGTATTCTTTTACTGAAAGGAGAAATTATTTGTGCATCATTTTGAGATAATACATGAATGGGTTATCCCCTACTTACACACGACACCTCAGCAACTAAATTCCTGCAATTGGGATCGGCGATTTCTGGAGTAACATTCCCCCCAGCAGGTTGCTCATACACGATCCTCCCCAAAATGCTCCCCTTCTCCCTGATGACCTTGGTAAGTGCACGGGTGTCGATCTCATGTATCCCTGGAATGTTCTGCTCCTTCATCCAATCTGAAAGAGTCTTCGTCTGTCTCCAGTGGCTGGGAGTGTCGCAGACCTCTCCGACGATGAGCCCAGCCGTCCATATCCTGCTGGACTCAAACCAATAAGGCAATCCATGCTCGTCCTTCTCGTCACCAGGTACCCCGTAGTTGCCAATCAGTGGGTAAGTCAGAACCAGTATTTGCCCGTGATACGATGGATCCGTCAGGGACTCAGGGTATCCGACCATACCCGTTTGAAAAACTGCGGAAATTCAAATAGCGGATGATAAAGATAATGCAAACAACAGGGAACTCATCTCGCGGTTTGAGTAGATTGGAGAAATCTTTCGATCGTGATTATCAATTTACTGATACTATTTTTCAGTATTTGGAGAGGAGAGCGTGTTGTTGGGGTGGAATATATTGTAACAATGGGAATAGGGATTTTATTGAGTTCAAGTATTCATTTATCACGCATGAAAAAAATTAATAGAAAAACGTGAGGAATTCGATAGGCAATTCTATTAGATTTCTGTTGAACTTCCTGTGATTTCTTTGTCGATTTTGTTGAAATGTTCATTAAAAAATATTTCATTATAAAAAAATCCAATGTAACGTTTTTTGTCACCGGTTTATTCGGATATATATTCATTCTTTTCTTCTAAATACAATAAAATGAAATGAAAAATCATATTATAGCGCCACATGCACCTACATGCGCCTACATCTCTAGTTTGTAGAAATAGTCGATAGAATTCGATTTTTCTATAGAACTTATTCTATTGAGATATTTTCTGTAGAATTTCCTCGACTCAAATTGAGTTGTTTCATTCTATTTTTGTTCTCTGAGTTGTTTTCATACCATTTTTCTTTTTTTTTCTACAGAAAATATCTCAACAGAATAAGTTGCATAGAAAAATTTAATTCTATTGACTTTTTCTATAGAACATTTTCTACTAAACATTTCAATAGAATCAGCTAAAAGTTAATAGAAAGTTCAATAGAAATCAAATATACTTGTCTAGAGAATTCGCTAGATTTTTCTATTAAATTTTTTCATATTTTTTCATGAAAGTTATGATGGAATACTATTTGAAATAGCCATTGCAATTTTTTTTTGACTCAACTACAACTTTTGATAGCTATTAATTTTTTTTTTAAATTGTCAACTTTTTTTTTGTTTTTGCTTTAATTTTTTGTAACGGATTCTATCAGAAGGAAAATCTGACTATTATTCTCTTCGGTGGTTTGAGAATTTCAATGAAGCTGTATTGTAGGACTTATGCATGAATATTAAATTATCATTGGAAATTTTTTTCATTTGTATCTCTAAAATTACTGAAACAAAACAGTTCATTTTTTTAAATCAATGTGGAACATCCCCATCTTTTTATGGACATCACTCATTCAAATTCAACACAATAATATTTTTAATAGAACAATTTGATAATGCAGCTGTCAAACAGAGAATAGAGTAAATTTCTTTTCAAAACAAATTGGTTTTTTTTAAAATATCTCGGGATGGAACAGAGATGGTGAAAAAATCATAAGGACCTTTTTAATAGATCTAGTTTTTCTCTATAAAAAAGGTTCTTATAAAAATTTTGATATCTCCCCTAGATTCAAAGATATTTTTTTAAAACTCCAATTATTGAAAGTTGAAATTGAAAATTATCAGAAATTATTCAGAATTGGATTCATTATTTTTTTTATTCAGGGGAAACTTCCTTGCCTTCACGAGAGCATCATTAACAAGATTTGACACCATCATATTTTAAAATGCACGATTTTAGAATGGAGTTGTTAAACCGGAAAAATATCGAATTTCCCTTGAAAACAAATTAGTTTTTTGGAAATATCTCGAAATCTAAGAGAGATAGCCAAAAATTACAATAAACCTTTTTAATAGATTCAATCTTTCTCCATAAAAAAGGTCCTCATAAAAATTTTGATATCTCCCCTAGATTCAAAGATATCCTTTAAAAACTCCAATAACTAATCATTGAAATTGAAAATTCTCGAGAGTTACTGAACATTTTGATTGTGTATTGTAATCTAACAGATCGCTATCTTCACACAGTTCACTAATTAATGACAAGGGTTTCCTCTCGTAAACTGATGGAATTTCCATCCATCAGATGACGGACGCTAAAATGGAGCGCGACCACGTGTTGAGCCCGTAATCGCGCTCCGAAAAAAAAACCAATAATAATTGCATGACACTGACCAACTTCCCCATCAACTGGAGCAGTCGCCCCGAAACTCCGTCCGGGAAAGACACTGCCATCATTGAGAAGTAAATAACAGTTGTTCTTTTCTTCGGTAAACATAATGGTTTTCACATGCACGTGTCAATCGCCGGAACCTAGCCGGAACGACAATCGCCACTGTACTATCGCTCGCGCCTGCCAGTGATCATGTCTCAGCCGGTTCAGCAGGCTCGCCAATTTCAGATGTGTGAATCCACCGATGGCGGGAGATTCAAACCGTGGGAGCTATTCTTGACGGAGACGCAGAATGACCATTATTTTTTAGATCGCATCGTATGACCGGAAAAAGAGGGTTTTGTGACGGCCGGTGAGGTAAACCCCTATTTTTCATACATCGTGATGAAAAATAGTGTTCGACACTCGTAGAAAAAAAGTGTTTTTCATCACTTGTGCGTAAAGTGAAATTTTACACACGCTTCGCGTACGCAAAATTCAAAACATTGTGATCAAAAATAAGGTTTGACACTTGTGGGAAAAGTGCTCTTTAACCTTTGGGAGGGATCTAAATAGATATTTCCGGTACAAGGCCAGAATAGTATATTTCGTAACGAGTACAAAAAAGTATTTTTTGGCGAGTGGGAGGTTTCCCACGAGCTAAAAAACATTTTTTCACGAGTTACGAACAATATTTTTCATCACAATGTGGCGGAAATTAGACTTTTAGGCACGCGCAGCGTGCCGAAAAGTTCACTTTTCGTCACAGCGTGATGAAATAGTATAATTCGATACGAGTGAAACGGAATTTTCACGAGTGTGAAAATACGAATAAACGAAAAGACTTTTCGCTTACTAATAAACGAAAAGGCACTTTTCGGCACGAGGGGAACGTAGCAGCAGTGTCAAAATAGTATATTGTGTTACTAGTGCGTAAAGATCCGCTTTTTCTCATGCACGTGTAACACATCCTATTTTTTGCGATAAAGTGACGATAAAGTGGTTGTTTTTGTGTACGAGTGCGCAAAGTTTAAGGGCGTGCGTAAAATGAACTTTACGCACGCCGTGCAGAAAACAACCACTTCGCGTACTCTAAACCGCTTCGAGAAGTGCACTTTTGAGGCAGGTATTCCAAAAAAAACGACGTAAAACGACGTTTTGAGGACAGTGAGATGAAATCGCTATTTTCATCACAAACAGATAAAAGAATAAATAAACATGTGAAATGTGTGATGGAAAAGACTTTTACGCACTCGTATCGAAATACATTATAACCACCGTAAATTGATGAGGAGTAGATTTTTGGAAGGATTACAAACGGTTGAGTCAATTTATGCGAAGAATTTACTTTACGCACGCCGTGTGGAAAACAGACACTTTACGTCCGCTAAACCGCCCCGAAAAGTGAACTTCTCACGCAGATATTACAAAATATACCATTTTATAAGTGATGTTAAGTTCAACGAGTATCGAACCGTACGGTTTTTGTTTACAAGGAACCGAAAATACTTCGTTACGGTAGAAGAGACTGGTCACAAATTAAATTATTGCGAAAAACAATCGCAAACATCTTAAATTATTTATCTTGTTATCATTTTTATTTATTCATTATTTATTTATCAAATGGAAAATTTTTATCCACTCTATCAAGTCTTGTGGAGTTCAATGGAGTTACAATCCATTAATTATTTAAATTATTATATTTTGCTTTATTTATCTGTCAATAAGCTAAACATTGAACACATTGCATCATATAAAATAGAATATGTAGGAAAAAAATAAGCTTAACGTTTCGTGGCAGCAACAGAAAAAAGACGATAAGAATGAGAAAATAATCACGCAGCGATTCTCTGATGAATCCATTGTCCGTTAAGATCTTTAGAGAATAAAAATCGATCGGCGATAAAGTTTTTATCGTCTGCTGCATAGAATTCCATCCAATTAGGCACCAATTTGTATGCAACACTGGAATCATCGACAATGGAAATCAGTAACAGTCAATCAATTAAAGTGAATAATTATGATTTATCCATAATTAGGCAATTATTGGATAACTGCGTAATTAGAGAGCAATCAACGCACGAAAAAAATTCCGAAATGAATCTAGCGAATTCAGTAGTAAATTCATAAATTTATTGGATTTCCATTCAAAAATTTTATTAGTGTTTGGCCAATTCTACTGGAGAATTCCGCAGCTTTTCGGCACATTTTTTTTCATGAAACATGTCCAATGAAATTATTTTATGCAAAAAATCAGTAGAATTTCAGACATTTTTTATGAGAATTCCTCGACATGAATTTTTAAAGTTCTGTCTGTTCTAATTTTTTCTGCTTTTATTGTTAAAAAATCAAATAAAATTTATTTATGTATTTATGTTCATTTACAATTTATTCATGTTTATTTATTATTTTTTGTTCGATTTTTTTTGTCATCAAAATAGTAAAAAAGTAGAATATTTAAGCCGATGAGTTTTTGGAGAAAATATCTCAATAGAATATCTTCTATAGAAAAATCCAATTGTAATGATTTTTTCTATAGAGTATTTTCCATTCAACATTCCTATTGAAAAAAAAACATGTAGAAGCTACGGAATTTCTCTGTAGAATCGAAAAAAAAATAGAAGTTAAATAGAAATCCAATAGAATTCTCCAGTGAACTCGTAAGATTATTTATAAAGTTTTTTTTTGTCGCAGGTGTTTATTCCAATAAATTTAGTGTATTACAATCATAAAGCCGTCACTTACAAATGGTCAGGCATAGGGAGTGCAGAACTGTTCATTTGAGCTTCTCGGAGCAACTCATCATGTCGTTTTTTCAATTCGTCCCATTCAACTGGAGCATCTTGATGGCAAAGATGTGCTCGAATTTTGCAGTAGAGTGGATCTGCGTTATAAAATCCCTCGACTTCGTTTCTGGGACAAACCTCCACCGTTCCTTCAATTCTCGCCTGAAGCCACACATGAAAAAATTGAATAGAAAAACCTACAGAAAAAACAATGGAAAAAACATTCGCTAGAAAATTTTATTGAATTTCTATTGGACTTCTATTGAAAATATTATTTTTTTGTTTGTATTGAAGAATTCTGCAACTTTTCTGAGGACTTTTTTCCTTAGAAAATATTCAACAGAGACTACTTCATAAAAAAAAGCAATAGAATTCGGTTTTTCTGTAAACCTTCAAAAAAATAAATAAATAAAACCAAAAAACTTCGAAAATCTAGACAGGAATTTCTATAGAGAATGTTTCAATAGAATAAATTGTGCAGAAAAATGAAAATCTACGGACTTTTTCCATAAAGTATTTTTTATTGAAAATTTCTAATGAGAAAACGCAATGAAAAACTGCTAATTTTTTAAAACAGAAGTCTAATCGGAATTCAATTAAATTTTCTGAATGCACTAGATTTTTCTACGAAATTTTTTCGTACGACGCATTAAACCAAGTGATTTATTCAAATATCCTGATTGTTTACGAATTGAATACTACACCTGTCTCAAAACGGATTTCTTCTTATCGTCTTTGTGCACCCAATAGACACATATAGCGGCGCGCATTGCATTCTCATTCTGAAATCGAAGAATAACCGGAAGTCACTCGATTACACATGTTGAATTCGATATGTTCTGATATGTTATACCAATTCGCGGGCTTTACGGCTTCTACTATCGGTGACAAAAACAAATCCGCTTTTGTCGTAAGTTCGCAGCATTACGTGTCTCGAATGAGGTCTATTGTCTCTGCAAGAGAGATGCATCGTGATCAGGGATGGGCCATAATATTAGATTTTGACAATATTAAAAGGGGATTATCTCATTATATTATTCAAAGTTTAACTATATTTAACAAATTCAAAATATTAGGGGAGGTTGGGGTGAAACAGACACTTTTGACTTTTTTAAAAATGTTAATGACGAGTTAAAATGTGGACGAAATTTAATCTTTTTTTTTCAATATAAACAACAATTTTTTCCCTTTGAGATGAGCTTAAACTGATCTTCATTAATAAATTTGTCTGTGAGTTATGAATAATTTTACAAAAATCAAAAGTGTCCATTTTACCCCATCCTCCCCTATAAAATTTATGAACTAAATTTTCCGATTAATGGTGAATAAAATATTTGATAATTTTAAAATGTAATTTTTAGTTAACAAGCTCATTCTAAATTTAGGCACTTGATTTTTCGATTATCCAAATAATCGTCAAATTGATGGTTAATTTAATATTTAGAATTTTAAGATTTATGTTAAAAATTGACTTAAACTTCACAATTTAATGGTAATTATGATTGATTGATATGCCTATCACCAATCGTGATTTATTCGATTAGTTCAATTCCCCTACAATCATTTATTTCGAATTAAGGCCCGGGCGTACTATCTTTCGAATGTTATCTGGATTTTTTTAATCTTTCGTAATTCAAAATTGTCAATTGATTGGAACATCATGTAGACATTCCCAAAAATTATGATAGAATGATGAAAAAAATAGAAAAAATTCTCAACTTTTTCAAAGGGCGTTTTTAATTGAAACTCAGAATGAGTTGAAAAAAGTGGAAATTACAAATATCTGATTCGCTGTGGCAAATTATCTATTGGCTGTCATTTTCCATGGTGGATAACAAAACACCAACTCCTCATGGCAAGTGACAGCTAGGTATCTCAATTTTCAAAACAGTGGTATGTAGTCATCTGCCATTTTTATGTGATAAAATTGTGATTAAAAAATTCTCCAAAATATTACAACTTTTTTCAAAGAGCCTTTTCCGTAATAAATGTCTCTGTGCAGTGTGGGGAAAGATCTACGAAATCAGTCTTCCCCCTGCATGATATTGGGTGACAGGCCGTCATTTGGCACCATAAATCAGATACATTTTTCACTTTCTTCTTATTCAACTTATTCTGAATATAAATTAAAAATGCTCTTTGAAAAAATTAATAATTTTTTCTACTTTTCTTTGATTATTCATTGATAATTTTTCAAAATTTCTGCATGATGCAGGACTTACTTGACAATTTCAGATGACTAAAGATGAAAAAAAACATCGAGATAGCGTTCGAAAGATAGTACACCCGGGCCTTAATGAAATCATTCCAAGTCAACTGCAATGTGTACTCACGCGGAACTTGTAGACAAACAAATAATGGATTTCCTCGATTCGGTCTGCCACTTGGTAAAAAGAACTAAAGGATCATCAGACGGCAAATCAATCCTCGATAGTCCCGACTCGACCGAACTTGTCCCCTTCAATGAACCGAAAATAAATTTTAAAAAGCGTGTCATTGCCTGTTTAATTAATGTCATCCTCATGTTTACTTTCGGGAATGACTCAGGCTTAAGTAAAACAACAAATGCGCATTGGACAATAAAAATTTTTCAGACAAAATTAAAAAAAAATGAAAATACATTTTTAAAAAATAAAAGAAAGAACGTTGAAAGAAAACTGAAATTTCATAAGCACTTGTCTAAATATTTTCAAAACAGTGACTGATTTCGATACAGGGGAAAAATAATGAAAATTCATTGGAATTCGAAATTTTTGAAGAGCCGAAGGATGAGAATTCCTCATCTGAATCTTCAATCAAAACATTAGTAAACTTTAGTAAACTAAATCATATAATGTATTCTTTAATTTTCAATCAATTGAAAATTCAAAAATTCATTTACCTTAACTTTCCAGATTTCTATTAATTTTCAAGAAAAGGGGAGAGTAGGGCAAAATGGAACGGTAGTGAATTTTGGTTTTCAGAACTATAGGACCTTTTTTTAATATTCAATTTATTCATAGAACAATAATGATATTACAAAGGTCTTATTTATTTATCTATAATCGTCTATTACTCTATAATTGAATTTACAGACATCAGATTTTTCTTCAGTTTTTTAACCTTGAATTATCTTTTTTACAATGAAGATAGCAAAATTTTTATAAGGACCTTTTTGTAGAGAATTTCAAGGGCTATAAAAAAGGTCCTTATCAAAATTCTTCTATCTCCCTTAGATTACAAGATAGCGATAACTTCAGAGTAGACTGATGTCACTGACTTAACCCCGAATCATCATTTTTGAGCGCACATAAGGTGAAAAAACAAAGTTGTCTGAATTTCGCTCTATATTCGTTTTTTGTACCGTTCCATTTTGCCCCGCGTTCCATTTTGCCCCACCCTCCCCTATGAAATAAAATTAAAAAATATTAAATATTGGTAATCTCTTGAAATTCCAAAATAATTAGATGCGCCTTACATTCGCCATTCTTTCTTCTTCAAAATCTTTCGCCGGATTTATCTCTTCGTCCAACAGACTGAAGAACAACTGTTTTACTCCAGCAGTTTAAATACCCAGTCGATAGAATTGCACTTGCGTGGACGCCTCCGATCTCGTCGAAAGTTCCCTCTCAACTGCCTCAAGTATCGCTATTTCAACGTGCAATTCCCCTTCCACCGCTCACTTTATTTGCAAGCTAAAAAAAGATAATCTCAGCGGGGTAACGAAACCATAAATTGCGCAAGTAATAATTGAGATCATTACGCGCATCAATGCAGCCGTTATGACGTTTCACAACCCATTTGATGACGACAATTAATGAGTAACGAAATTGTACTTTATTTATCTCCATAAAAATACAATAATCATACAAAACTATTAAAATATCTTAACAATTGGCAGTGATTTTCAGATCCACTGCACTTTAGCCATTATTTACAGTTGTAGATCTATTTTATAAATATTCACGTGGAATTTTTTTGTCGTATGAATGCAGTTTATTGAGATCGAAACAAAAACTGATTTATGAATTTCGGAAAATTTGTTTCGACCACAACGCAAATGAAATTTCCGCTGTTACGAGTGAATCTTTATTCTCATGAGTTAACGTTTTTATGAGACGAGTAAAATATCCTGCTAACGACTTTTGGTAACGATAATAATTTTTTATTGGAGCGTGTATGAAAAAATTAGACGAAAAATCTAACGCTAGGGAAATTTATTGGTTTTTGAATAGTATTTCTGTCAAAATTGTGTTTGAAATTATATGAATTCAGCTGAATTTTTTTGATGAATATTCCAGAGAGAAAAGTCAATAAATGTTGATTTTTTATACAAGAATTCTTTTATTCTCTAGGATTTCTATAGAAATTCTAAGGAGAATTCTTATAGACTTGCAATAGAGATTCAATAGAATTTCGTGGATTCAATTTTTTAATAGAATTCTTGTAAAGATTCAAGAGAATTCCGATAGAATTCCAATAGAAATTCAATAGAATTCTTATAGACTCCTAATAGAAGTTTAATAGAATTGTTATAAAACTTCAAGAAAATTCTTATAGACTTTCAATAAAAATTCAATAGAATTCCTGGAGAAAGCGTATAATCTTCTATAGAAATGGCGCTTAAAACGAACACGATTTTTCAATAGAATTCTAATGAAACTTCAAGAGAATTTTTGTAGATTTCGAATAGAAACTCAATAAAATTCCAATAAAATTTCAAGTGAATTCTTATAGACTTCCAATAGAAATCCAATGGAATTCCTAGATAAAGAACATAATATCCTATAGAAATGGCGCAAAAAACAATAGAATTTTTTAATACAATTTTAATAAAACTTCAAGAGAATTCTTATAGACTTCTAATACAAGTTTAATAGAATTGTTATAAAACTTCAAAAAAATTCTTATAGCCTTTCAATAAAAATTCAATAGAATTCCTGGAGAAAGTGCATAATCTTCCACGTAAATAACGCAAATTTTTCCATAGAATTCTAATAAAATACCAAGATAATTCTTATAGACTTCCAATAGAACTTTAACCTCGTTCCCTGAATACAGCGCTAGCATTTTCCAAGAATTGTTTTCACGCGTGCAGTAATAACGGACGTAGGCAATGATTTTTCTCCCAATGCATGGCGTTCAAGTCACAAATGTTATTTATCGCCGAGATAATTCCATCCGTCCTCTATTCCCGAACTCCTCGAATTCTCAAGGACTCGTATTAACTCAGATCACCATCTCAGTAACAAAGAGGCACGAATGCTGCGCATTCGCCGTGCCAATACGCCTCTCTGTTACCGAGGTCCATCGATATTACTGTTCTTCTCCAGTGGTTTATCAACCGAATGACAACACTTGAGGTTTCCTCACTAGATCCACAAAACCACATCCCCAAATAGACGAAACGTCTGACGAAATCGAAGTTCATATCGCCTCAGGCCTAATCTTTACGACTGCAGAGCGACAATAAGTGTTTTCAATCAATCGTAGATTTAATCCAGGCAATGTTTGAGGAAACATTGTCGTAGAGTCGCGGTCTCTCGTGGCCGGGCTTTGAACAGGCGATTCGCCAACTGCTGACGCCAGTGAGGGCCCAACGTCGGCCGTCAGACTGGAGACAGAGCATCGGACTGCCCGCCAATTCCTCCTCCTTAATGTGTAAATAGAAGAAATAGCAAGTGAGAAGAATAAATGAAAAATTAAAATTAATTAAGCTGCGAAAAACGAAAGTCGATTTTCACTATTCGTCAGTTTTTACCGAATATCTCGAAATCTAAGACAGATAGAAAAATTTTGGTAAAGACCTTTTCCGTAGAGCGAATTGAAAGCTACAAAAAAGATTTTAACGAAAATTCCGCTATCTGCCTTAGATTCGGAGATATTTTTCGAAAACTCAGCCAAGAGTTTTCGATCGAACCCTGGTTCAACCATTTTCGATGATAGATGTTAGAGGATTCTTTATTTATTAGTGCTTGTACGATTTGGTGAGAGTTTGAATGAATTTCACTCACGTTACAGTCTTCGGTGGAGTATGCGGCCTCCGTGCAGATGCCGTTGACCGACGCAATGCTAATATTATCACATTTTTCCATTGCGGTCTGTCTCAATTGGACTCGTTGTAATAAATCACCTGAACGTGGTATAAAAAAAGATTTTTAAGATACAGTGAGAAGACATGAAGACCTTGACACATTTTCAATTTTTGTGAAACTGTAAATTTCAGTTCAATTATTTCACAAAATTTGATTGCACTCACTTCCTTCTAAATATTATTTCGTTCATTATTTATAAAGTTCACGAGATGTTTTAACCCTTCGTGACTCCCGTCCACGGCACCGCGCCGGTGAAATTCTATTTTTCAGTATAACTTCCGCAAAAACTCATTAAAAAATATGCCAAAATTTGTATGCCTCACTGATTTTATCTAAAAGCATATTCTGCCGTATCTAATCGCAGCCAAAGCCCCTGATTAGATAAAATTAACTCCTATGCTAACTGGAAATGAAAAATACGGCACCGTGCGGCGACGCAACTGATTGTATCACGGAAATATTTCACACGGCGTTGCCACACTTGTGGCTAGCGGAGCTGCCGGGAGAGCAGCGAGTACACTCTCTGAATGAATTGTGGCAATGGCGCGCTCAGATTTACATTACGATGCGGCGCCGCGATGCGAGTCGTCGTCCCACGTCGGGCAGTTCACGCTAGTCACGAAGGGTTAATGTTATTCTCTTTGAGAGTTTATGTCAACTATTGTACGCAACAGCTTATTTCTACGTTATTCTATTTGTATGAGATTTGTACCAGCTATGCTGTCTTTCTCAAATAAATAAACAAATGAATGAATTGATTAATTGGTTAATTAATTAATTAGTAATAATAATTATTATTATAAAGCGAAACAAAAAATGTTATTACAGTTTCCTAAAATGAAATGTCCGATGTTCTTTGATGTTTTAGTACAGATTTAACTTCTCAAACAAATAATAATACTGACGATTTCTAGCCCATCCAAGTGTATTGCAGTACGAGCTATTCATTAGCACAGGTTCTTGAGCTGACGGTAGACAAACAGGTCGCACAAAGTCTGAGTAAGCAGTAATGGGTCGATCCAATTTCAGAAGGACCATGGTACTTCCTTCCACGGGTGACTTGACCATTCCAACAATCCTGCGTTCCTGTTGCCAGGGTGATGTGCTGGAGAGCCTGACTGTGCCGAGCCTGGCGGACCACTCAGCCCTCGGTTGACTGGAATATTAATAATAATTTTTCGTCAGATTATTCTGATTTAATATGATTGCGATCGTTGGTGCAAACGGGGCTGGTGTATTCACCCTTGAAAGCAGGATGCGGTGGCCAAGAGCCAGTTGGAGGAGACGAGAGTGGCATCGCAGACGTGGATTTCTTCCTTGAATAGGGCCACGTGCCAGGGCCAATCCCCAGGATCAGATATTTTGTTCAGGGCTTTCGTCGGGGTTTTTCCTCTCAGGGACTGGATTCCACATTCTGGAATTGGGGAAGATAACGCGGGAAAAAATTTAATGGAAAAATCTAACGAATTTGGTAGACAATTCTGCTGTTCCAACATTGACAGTCAGTATTGTCGCAACATTGGCCCAACGTCAGCAGCTAACACTGTCCCAACATTGACAGTTAACATTGTCCCAACATTAGCAGGAAACATTGCTCCAAAGTTGGCAGCCAATATTGACCCAACACTGTTGCACGGTCGGCAGTCAAAATTGTCCCAACATTGGCCAAAGGTCGGCACCCAACATTTTTTTAACGTTGGTAGTCAACATTGTCCCAGCATTACCCCAACATTGTCCCAACGTTGGTAGTCAACATTGTCCCAACATTGGTAGTCGGTACTGTCCCAACATTGCCAGTTAACATTGTCCCAACGTTAGAAGCGAATATTGCTCCAAAGTTGGCAGACAACATTGGCCCAACATCGCCCCAATGTCGGCAGTCAACATTGTTCCAACATTGCCCCAAGCTCGGCACCCAACTTTTTTTTACGTCGGCAGCCAACATTGTCCCAACGTTGGCAACTACCATTTCCCCAACGTTGGGAGCCAACATTGTCCCAACATTTCCCCAACGTTAAAAGTTTTACCTTTCCCTGAATATTTTATTCAAAATAAATTTTTTCAACCGCATAAATTTCGTCAACAACAGATAATCTTCACACCCCATCCACTAAAACACGTAGATGTATTATGCATCAAATAATTCGAATGCATTAAATTCAGTCACAAAAAAATTGGGCGCATCCACATGAATTATTGCTCATTCTCACCTAATGTTCCACACCGCACATACATGACTTGTCTACTGGGACAAGCTCCCCGGACAAAAGTGATCTCCGACGCCGATGGATCCTCCATGTGCACATACTCCACATTGTCCTCATCGTCCGTCTTCACTTCCACGGAAAGTACTCCACTGAAATGGCACACAGCGTGATAATGCATCCGCAAATTTGCGCCTCCACTTTTATTGCATTACCTGAACGTGAGGAGAGAGCATAGCGAAGCAGCTGCTGTCTGGAGAACAGTGTCCATTTCCGTGGGGGGTAGTGTGACATTTAGACTCTCCGTGCAGAGTTTTCCTACTGTTCCTTTCTCGTTGAACACCACGGAACCCTCGAGAGTGTATCTCGCTGGGAGGACTGTATCCATCATCTGGGATTTTACGGACTCAAGGTTTTTGGCTAGTGATACTGGGGACGCATCAACAAATTAATTTTTTTACGTCATGACTATTAAATTATTTGATAATTACGTCGTAACTAAATGTTGAATGATGCATTAAAATGAAGTAAAGTTCTTTATTCGGAATTTTTTTATTCAGGTCAATGCAATGTGTAATAATTTGAACACTTACAACAGTCTTTTTCGTCATATCCATTCGGACAATCTGATCTCCCGTCACATCTCTTGTTCGCGGGAATGCAAGACCTTCCAATTCCACAGTGAATGTGACCTTCCGGACAATAAGCGCAATTCTTCTCGTCCGAGGAATCCGCGCAGTCGAGAATTCCGTCGCATATTCGGGGGGACAGGGCCTTGTTCTGTAAATCCTTTACGCAGCCTGTGGTTAACGATAAAATTATAGGCGCAATATTAATAATTTAATCGTCATTATGGCGTTGGGAAAATAATGAAATTTTGAATTTCACTGGAAATCCAGGGGAATCACAAATTTTTCGAGGAGGAGAAGACAAATTCAGCTGTAGTTTTAATTTATTGAAAACGATATAGAATTCATGATTTCGATTTATATTTATGGAATAATTGTTCAATTATTCCATGAAAATTTAGAAGTTTGAATTTTTAATTTGAATATTCCAAGATGAATGTTAAGGAAAAAGTATAAATTTCACGAAAATCATAAAGTTTTATATTTCACTGCAAATTCAATGGAATTCTAAATTCTTTTAAAAGTTAAAAATCTAGAATTCTTCAACTTACTTGAATTTTTAATGTAAAAATAAATATTCAGTATCAAATCAACCAGAATTTTCAATTAATTAAAAATTGGTGACTAGATTCACCTCAGTTTCATGATTTCTATTAATTTTCATGGAATAATTGACCTGAAATGTACTATTTCCACCGATTTTTTCATAAAATTATGGAATATTTTTAAAAATATTTCAAAAATGATAACAAAATTGACTGAAATTTCGGGGGAACTATAACTCAATGAAAATTGTCACCTGGTTTAGGCCTGCAGCTCCCCTCGTCCACGTACTCCGGAAACCCTCCGCAATCCAATGCTTTCCTGAGCCGTTCTGGCAACCGATTCCCGCATCCGGACCAGAACTCCCGGCAGAAGCTCTGGCACGGCATTTGGAGCGAGGCTTCCGATTCCCAGTTAAGACATTTTGGCTGGAGAACCTGACAGATGAAGTCGTAAGCTAGTCTGTAGCATTCGGCATCAACTAGTTCCCTACAGGATAATTATTAATCTTTAATTAATAATAATAATAATAATAATTGTAATAATAATGATATTAATAATAATAATGAATAATTATTAAGCATACTATGCTTTTAAACAATAGTAAAAAAAAGTAAAATAAATAAACAATCAAAAGAAACAAAAATAGTGATGATCAGCGGGAAAATAGACAAATGAAATAAACCAATACATAATAATAATAATAAATTATTATTATTATAACATTGTAACTATTGTCATCACATTTGTTCAACCAAAATCGTCAAACGAAAATTTAAAACAAATCTGAATAATAACGATTATTATAAAAAACTAAATAATTCTTATCATTGCATCAATTCAATTAAATTCCATTTATTTAAGACTTCAACAAAATATTAAACATAATTAATATCATAATATGTTTTTCATGAATTGTAAACAAAAGTAAAATAAATAAGCGATTAAATGAAACAAAAATCATTAGTAATAATGATGCAGGGGAAAAATATTAATAAAAAAATTAATAAATAAATGAAAATAATAAGAATTCATTATTATCATAACATTCCAATTATTACCATTACATCTATTTGTACAAAATCTTCGAAATAGAAATGAACAAAATTTTGAATAGTACTGATTATTATTTGAAAAAATTAATAATTATCGTCAGATATATTTGATTGAATATCATAAAAAATATATTCATCTCACCAATTGTTAAAAAAGTAGAAGAAATAAACAAATAACAAAAATAATAATAATTAGTTATTATCATGGCATTATAATTATCATCCGCACATCTGTTTAAACGAAATCTTCGAAATAAAAAAAAAAATCTGAACAGTAATGATTATTTAAAAAACAAAATAATTTAATGATTATCATTAGATCAATTCCATTGCATTGCATAAAAAAATATCACCTGAACGCAATGAGATCCTCCTCAACCTCCTTCGCCCCCCGATGTCCAAAAACATTCGGATAAGTAGTTAAATTATACGGCAGATGCTGGCAGTACGAAATCATGTGCATCGTGCAGCTTCTGGGAGGCGGCGGAGTCGTGGTAGAAGGATCTGTCGACACAGTCGTCTGCATCGCCACCTGTGCATTGAGCGCTGCAATGCTCTCCTGCACCTCCAGACTCTTCGGATCGATCGTCAAATTAGCGAGATATTTAGTGGTCTCCGGAGTTATCTCGCGTGATAATATCGCCATCACGTCGTCGACGGTTATCGTCTGGTAGCGGGGATCGAACCGCACGTCGAAGTGGACCACTAGGTCGCTACCTTCCACTCTGCAATTCAATATTAAATCGCTTATAGATATTTTACACTCGGAGAAAGGACGCGGCTGAATTTAAGTAGAAAAACTCCTTATCCCGAAGTCAGTGAAGCGTTAAAACGGTTTTCAATGAATATCTCAGAATCTGAGGTAGATAGCAAAATTTTTGTTAAAACCTTTTTTGTAGCTCTCATTGTTCCCTACAAAAAAGGTCATTACGAAAATTTCGCTATCACGCTTAGATTCGGAGATATTCGTTCCCTTCGTCATCGCGTACCGCCCTGAGAGAAAAAATTGATTCTACCGAAACATTTAAGGTAATGAAGAAATAAAATAAATAAATAAATCGATATTTTGTTGTTAATTAATTAATTAATTAATTAAAAATTCAATAACTCAAACTAAAATTTAACTGATAATTAAATATTTTATATTATTATTCTTATTTATTTATTTAATTAATAAATCAATCAATTAATTAATAAACAACAAAATATTAACTATAAATATTATAGTATTATTAATATTAATTATATTATTAGATAATTTTTCATTTATTAATTAACTAATTAATTAATTAATTAACAAATAAATAAATGTGTTGCCTCCATGCGAATTAATTGCATAAAATGTCAACTTCATTAATAATTTTCATTGTCTCTCAATAAATCCACACATGTCTCAACAATTGCGACATCTTGTGCAAAAATAATTCTCTCGTTTAATTGGGACTGAATTAATCGTTAGTGACAAGTATAAATAATTCAATGGTCATGGCGGGAAAACATATGAAATGGAATTGTGAGATTTGTTCAAGAAGGCTCTGTTCGCTCGTGCATTTCTCCGCTTTAATTTATGCTCGGAGGAGGTTGATTCTTCAAGTGGAGCACTGGGTCAACTCCGGAGGGTCTCTTTTGCTTCGTCATGATAATAAAGATTTAACTGACTATGAAATGTGTTGTTGTTGTTTTAATTTGTTTTGAGACGCTTCCGGGTGGGAACAAAGGCGACTCTCATGGGGTAATGACTTTTTAGTTGGGATGTTTATCGGGGGGAGGGGAAGATCTAGTTGCATAAGATGATTGCACTAGTTCTTCGTGGATTTTTATGGGATGTATTTCATGAATACATATTCAGTGATATTTTTTAAATGTGGATTAAGTGGAGATTTAGTTGCATAAGGCTAGAGCAATTGTTCTTTTATGGGTTTTTATTCTATAAAGAGTTATTAAATAGCAGTTTAGATAGAATTTAGTTGTTAAATGGGAAAATGAGATCGTTTAAATGGATTTTAGATTTAGTTTTTGATGAATTTCTTTGAGACGGAAGGTTTTTAGTAATTCTTAGGGGTTTGTTTATTGTTTGGAGGTGGAGATCTAGGGCAAAAAGCTATTGCACTTCATATTTTATGCATTTTGTGGGGTTTTAGTCTATAAAGAGTTACGTAATTCAATAGTTAAGGGGGAAAATTAGATACTTGGACTAGATTTTAGATTTAATTCCACGCACCACAAAATTTAATAGACAATTTAGTGGAAATGTTCGATAAAAAAATTTCGATAAAAAAGGTCGATAGAATTCCATTTTTCTATAAAATTCATTTTACTGAGATATGTTCTATAAAATTTTCTCAACTTAAATTTTCTAAATTTGTTTGTTTGATTTGCTTAATGAAAAGAAAAGAAGAGCAGAATGAAAAATGAGAATGAGTGGGAATAATAAAGACTCACATGGGTTAATGACTCTTTCATTTCATAAATAAACATTCAGTGATATTTTTAATGTAGATTATGTCGAGATTTAGTTGTGTAAAACTATTGAAAACGTTTATTTAGGGCTTTTTATTCTATAAAGAGTCATTAAATAACAGTTTAAATAGGATTTGGTAGTTAAATGGGAAAATGAGATGGTTTGAATGCATTTTAAATTCAGTTTTTGATGAATTTCTTTGATACTGAAAGTTTTTAGTGATTCTTAGAGGTTTGTTTATTAGTTTGAGGTGGAGATTTAGGGCAAAAAGCTATTACACTTCATGTTTTATGCATTTTTATGGGCTTTTATTCTATAAAGAGTTGTTAAACAGCAGTTTATGCATAATTCAGCAGTTAAATGGGAAAATTAGACGCTTGGACTAGACTTTACATTTCCTTTTTCATGAATTCTTTAGAATCTGAAGGTAGGGTTTTAGTCATTCATTGGAGATGCAGACCTAGCTGCATAAAGTAATTTATTTTCTTCATCATTTTCTTTATTCTTTCACGTATTTTTCATAGTCCTAAATAATTATCAATTAATATTTTCAATTCAAGTGACATTAAATGATTAATTCAAACGAGAATAGTATATTTCGTAACGAGTGCAAAAAAGTGTTTTTTGGCGAGTGGGAGGTTTATATCACGAGCTGAAGGCGAGTGATATAATCCCACGAGCTAAAAAACATATTTTCACGAGTTACGAACAATATTTGTCATCACAATGTGGCGGAAATTGGACTTTTAGGCACGCGGAGCGTGCCGAAAAGTTCACTTTTCGTCACAGCGTGATGAAAAAGTGATATAAGTCAACACAACTTTAGATTCATTCCGTCATAAGCGTCCGAATACCCCAAGGGGATGAGGAACTTTCCGGTCAGACCACTCTGCGGAGCGGAATGAGAACCACAAAAAGAGTTCTCGTCATAACTTCGCTGTCTCCTCTCAATCATAAGGCGTCTTCTATCATAAAATAAGTGAAACATTTTCGGTCTGCAATCTGTTTCATCAAGCTTAGGCTAAACTCAGGAATACTTCAAATTCATTTTCGTCTGAAAAATTAATTTCTTAACCTCTTTTCCCATCTTAATTCTTGAAAAAAATATACATTTCGTTTTTAATAATAATTAATTATGACTGCCCTTAAAGAAAAGTTCTTTAATATTCAAATAAATAAATGAATAATAATGATAATAAAGACTAGTATATATTTTTTTTTAAACAAAAATCGTGAACAAATTGATATTTATGTGTTTGTTGAAGAAAATTTAATTTTTTTCTCAAATCTAAATTCTAAACGCAATAACAACTTTTTTTATTGAGACATTTTCTGTAGAAATTCCTCGACGTCAATTTCCCAAATTATATCTATTCTATTTATCTGTTCTATTATCTATTATTTATCTTGATTTTTTGAAAAAAAAACATTTTGTTTTTAATAATAATAAATAATTACTTATATCAAAAAATATCTCTTCATCAGTCAAATAAATAAATAATAGTGATAAGAATGACTATAATACATATTTTCTTCTTTAAAAAAATCGTGAATAAATTTTTATTCACGTGTTTGTCGAAGAAAAATCTTTTTTTTTTCTCAAATCTCAACGCAATAAAAGGAAATATTAAGTCATTCTTTAATGAATAATAAATAAGCACGTAACGATGATGAACAACACGCACAAATGAGGGAGAGAATTAATTACGTGATTACTCACCCGTCGAGTGCGAGTATCTCACAGACGATGAAGGATAATCTGAGGCTGCTGCGTCTGAACGCAAGAGTCAAGCGATCTCGGTACTCTCTTACACGTATCCTGAAGGCTTCCGTCGAGGGATCAGCGAGATCGGCCGCGAAGGAGTCACCAGAGGTGACACGAAACGTTGCGAGGAACACTTGATCGCTGGGGGGATCGGAAACCAGAAATGTGTCTGCAACAGAAAGGGGGAGAGTAAAAAAATTCAGTAGTGAAGTGGTAAAACGGTACAAGTCAATTTTGACTATCGACCAGTTTTCAATGAATATCTCGGAATCTAAGGGAGATAGCAAAATTATTATTATGACCTTTTTTGTAGGGCCGATTGAATGCTACAACAAATGTGGTTAGGAAAATTTCGCTATCTCCCTTAGATTCGGAAATATTCGTCAAGAACTCAACTGGGAAATGAGTTGACTTGAACCGTTTTACCACTTCGCTACTGAGTTGTTGCTAATAGATTAAGGCGACTGCTCAGTTGTTGACATTAACGTCTTTCCTGTTGTTTGCGGTAAATTTAACGCTATTAGCTGTGTGTTCACACGTAACGGGTTCAATTATTAAAGAGACTAAACGTTAATCGAGTCAGGAGCTTGATGAAGCTGAAATTATTAGCAAAACGTCGCGAAATGATACGTAGGAAAATGTTGTTTTCATTTTCTCCAACATCCCGTGATATTTTTTGGATATTTAACGACAATGGAAACGGACGAGAATATAGATTGGGAATATTGAACTTTGACTCCAGTGAATTGTCTTTAACTAGAACAGGGCGCATTATTGGTTTCCATGGGTGTCAGAATAATAAAACCTTACAGTATCTCACTTTCATTCATTTTTATATCAACAATAATGCAACAATTTTCACAATGAGAATTTAATTGTTGAGTAATTCATTCGGAATCGTCATAATCCTCCGCATTTTCTTCTTCGTTTCTCTTTTGCTTTTTGCGTTCTTTTTTATTTTTAGGGATGTATTATGTACTATATACATATATACTATCCTATATATATTCTATAGAACTATGTTATTCCTTTCTTTATGCAGAAGTATATCAACTTTTTAACAGGTAAAAAAAATTAAGATATGAAAAAACATATTTGCATACGTATTTTTTATTACAGAAATTGTTATTCTGGATTTATTAAAAGTGGATAACTGAAATTGAATAGCTGATTCAGTAGAAATTTCCAATAAACTCTCTGCAAGATAATGTTTTCTTGAATTTAAAAATTAGAACAGCGACTTGAATAGGGAGAAATGGAGCACAAAATTCAGGTCTTCGAATCAACATAAATACGGGAATCGAGTTTATAATATATTCCCACATTCTTGGCCTTCAAAACCAGATTCGTTATCGGTTAGACTGTTGATTTTTCAGGTGGGAGTTATCGAAACAAGATTTTCAACCTTCGGGTTTGGGTGAATAAATTTAGTAGCAAAACGGTATGTCGATTTTTTGATGAATTTGAATTCATTTCGGTGATGAATGATTCTCGGAGGGGGTATCACTGACCTTTTCCCCAGGTGATTAAAATTCCAACAATGAATTTCTTCTCGAGTTCTCAACGATTTTTTTATTCAAAATTTCAAGGTCTCAATTAACTCGATTCTTTATTTTGAACCGTTAGGAAACATTTCAAAATTCTGAAATAATTATGAGTTTAATTCTCCACGCACATAAAAATTCATACAGAAACCGAGTGAATTCGATAGAAAATTCTATTGGTTCTCTATTAAATTTTCTACATAAAATATTAATATAAGATATTATACGAAATTTTCCATGAAAAATATTCTGTTCTAGAGAAAAATTATAAGAATTTCATCTTTCTATAGAATTTTTTCTGCTGAAATATTTTCTATAGCAATTCCTCGACATGAATTCTTCGTATTCTATTCTTCTTATCTTTTCATTAAAAAATTGAACAAAAAAGACTTCGAGAATTTCGGAGGAATTGCTATAGAAAAAATCTGCAGAATTTAATATTTCGATACAACTGTTTCTATTAAAATATTTTCTATAGGAATTCCTCGACGTGAATTTCCCAAAGTTTATTTTACTTTTCTTTTCTTTTCATAAAAAAACATCAAACAAAAAAAACTTTAAAAATTCGGGTCAAGAAATTTTTATAAAAAATATCTCAATCGAATAACTTGAATAAAAAACTGAAATTCGATAGATTTTTTTCTATAGAATATTTTTCGTTAAACATTTCTGATGTAAAGACGGTGCAGCAAAACTGCAGAATTTTTCAACAGAATCATCCAAAATTAATGGAAAGTTCAATTTTTCTATAGAATTCCAAAGTCCAGAATTTTCTATTGAATTAGCTCGCTTTTTCCAGGAAATTGTTTTGTCCGTGTCGAGGAAGTCCAAAAAAAATGAATTTCCACTCAAAATTAAGATAAAAATTCACCAAAACAGTTGATACGCCCAACTTTAAAAGTTCGGGTCAAGGAATTTTATAGAAAAAATTTCAATACAATAACTTTTATAGAAAAATCAAATTCTATATTTTTTTTCTATAAAATATTTTTCACTGAACATTTTTATTATAAAAACTGGGCAGAAAAGCTGCAGAATTTTTCAATAGAATCACCCAAAAATTAGTGGAAAGTCCAATTTTTCTATAGAATTCCAAAAGTCCAGAATTTTCTATAGAATTCACTCGGTTGTCCCAAAAAAATCATCCGAAGAATCATCCAAAATTTAATGGAAAGTTCAATTTTTCTATAGAATTCCAAGGATCCAGAATTTTCTATAGAATTAGCTCGCTTTTTCCAGGAAATTGTTTCGTCCGTGTCGAGGAAGTCCAAAAAAATTAATTCCCACTCAAAATGAAGATAAAAATTCACCAAAACATTTGATAAGCCCAATGAAGGACGATAGTGAAGGTCATCGCCCCGTGAAATCCAACATCTCTAGCGGAAAATAATGGCAAGGCCGTGTCTCCCCACCCCAAAGGCCGCGTATTCCTCGAACCTAATGGATCGCGAGAGATTCGTGGATTGTTTCTCGGTAACGCGGCCGGACCGTTAGCTCCATAATAAAGTTAGCCACCTCTCGCACGTGAGAACACCTCCGGCAATGAATCACGTTGAAACAACAATGATAACTGTTCATTTCGGAAATGAACACCGAGAAAAATTTTATAAATTCGAGATGAAGTAGATTTTTCCGATTACTATCAATGGAGTGAAGAAAAATCTCGGCGGTGGAGTCAATGATTAATCCGCCACGAAAACCGGTAACTTATCGCGAAGGAAGTTTACGCGTCTCGCTCACGTACTCCGTAAACTCGGTCAGACCGTTAGTTTACACGCGTTGGAAAAGACCTCAATGGGCTCTGCGCCGCATCAATATGCATTGCCTCTCGACCAATTTCATTGGTCTTGTTTTATTCAGTTATTCCTCTCACTAGCATGCAGAGTGGATATTTTTATTCGTTTGCATGCATAAGTGAGGCGCATTTTGAATAAAATTCATAAATGAAAATGTCAAAGGTTTAAATTTTCAGCTAATCGCTGCATTATGGGACGTTCTTTTTTCAACTAATTGTTTATAATCATTCTCATTGCAAACAGCAATACGACCGATGAGAATCACATGTCCCAATTTATCAGCTGTTAAATTTTAATATTACAATAAATGATTTGCTCATGTTCTAATTCCTACGCTCACTGAATAAGATTTTAATCATAATTACAATTCAATTCCTTCTAACACACACTTTGGAGTGTGAATTTCTGGAATTCAATGTTTGTTGATACTCTGGTAAAAGTGCGTGCCCACACTTTATCAATTTTCAGTTAGTTCAACCGGTAATTCAATTAATCTGTTGTTCATCGCATCAATATAATTTCGTGCTTAGAATATTGTCATCTCGTGTTTTCAGTACCAAATTAAAAATTAAAACTTCATTTGGAATATTAAGTCACAGCTTCTTTTTATTCACATCAGAAATTTTGTATTTGGATATTAATATTATTTGTTCAAAGTGAAAAAATCGATCATCATTTTCACTATATTGCATTCAGATTCTCCTATCCTTAACGTCTAAAATGTGAGATAATCTCATAATTCTAGCTATTAATTCTAATCAACTTTGTTCGAAGAAAACATTAGTAAACGCAATATTAAGAAAGTAGAATCATTCTGTTTTCCTCTGACCTAAATGATTTGGACAATTATGATTCGTTTATTCATGTTTCATAGAATGGTATTAAATTCTCTTTTGTTCGTTAGGCGGGCTTCATGAAAATTCGGCGTAAGGCGATTGCACTCATGAAAACTGCCTTACTTTCTCCATTTGTTCGAGATATCCGGCTTGTTCGAGTTCTCATTTTCGATTCGATAGTTTCTACAGGCCATTTTGTCAATATATTTTTGCTAATAAATTAGCAATTGACTTCCGAATTGAATTTCTATGAAAATTTATTTTAAATTGGATTCAATGATTTATTGAATTCAACATTACCCCAACGCTAAAATTTTCAACCTTTCCCTGAATATCGGTTTCAAAATAAATTTTTTCAACAACAGACGATACAATCAATCTCACGATCGAAATCGATCAAGGTGGATTGGGAAGAATATTTTAACCAGATATCAAAATCATAAATTTGAAATAAAGTTAAATTTTAAAAAAGTCAATTGTTGAAATTATTAAATTGATCATCAATTAAATATCCAAATTCAGAATTATTTCGTCAATCAATAATTGAGTTCAGAGAATTGACGATTATTTGCACGGAGAGAAATTTTCAATAAAAATTACCAGAAAAAAGACGTAAAAATGACGTTTCGAAACGTAATCTGGGAGCGAAGTAAAATTCAATAAAAAGTGTCAATCGTCACATAAATTCTACGATCTGTTCCGTAAAAATTACTCATCCGTCCGACGCCTCACGGCTAGCCATGAGTCACCATGAGGGGGAGATTTTAACAACACGTTCCGTAATTTTTCCGGAACTTTTCGTAAAAATTCTTAAACATCCAAGAATTTTCATGTTCTGAGGCATAATAAGTCTTGAAGTTTCTGTTAAATTTTACAACTTCCAGAAAAATTACGTGACTTTTTCGTATTTTTTCGGTGACAGACCCGAAAATTTACTGAACGTTTCAGATTTATCTCTTATATTCGTATAGAAATTCACTGGAAACGATTCTCGCTTGCGGATTCCGTGAAATGTTCCGTAATTTTTCTTGAGTATTTCTCTCCATGTCTTTACTCGAAAATCTCTTTCATGAAATTTAGATAATATTCAACATCAAATATTTATTCCGCATAAACCTGCGGAATTCTTCAATAGAACGTCAATAGAAATGCAATAGGATTTTCTCTGAAAGACTTGTGCTTTAAATGTTCTGCTTACATCCGAGATATATAGACACCCCCGAGAACAACAAGAACAGCAAAAATGCAGCAAGTACACAGCATCCACAGCGATACTGTCCCCCCAGCTTTCTCGTAAAGCGAATATCACTGTCAGAAGATATGATCGAGGATGGCGTGCCGGCCCGGCTGAATCTCCTGGTGCTCACGGTGCTGACAGAAATCTGGAATAGAGATAACACGAGCAATTAGTCCGACAACATCGAGAGCAATGAAAAACACGGGATAACAATAATTCAGTAGCGAAGTGGTAAAACGGTTTAAGTCGACTTACACAGAGAGAAATGTTCAGTAAAAATTACGGAACTCACAATTCGCTCACCGATTACAGAATCGACCCAGAAAATTTAAGTGACGGTATCGTAATTTTTCACAGGAGATCCAGATAAAAATTACGGAACGCCCTGAAAAAATTCCGTGACAGTTCCGTAAAATTTCCTGCAACCACTTTTGGCTCCGAAATTACGGAAAAGATACGGAATTTTGATTGAATATTTCTCTCCGTGTAAATTGAATCCGATTGAATATTTCTCTCCGAGGAATATTTCCGAATTTAAGCACTGCGAAAACTAATGTCTGAATTTCGGACACTTTTGTAGAAACTTTTCAAACACTTTTGGGACGAGTTTGTAGACACTTTTGGGACATTAAAATGTGTCTGAATCAATGGAGGTATTTTAATTTCAGACACCAAGATGAAATTTTCAGACATCAGTTAGATTTTCAGACACTTTTAAACATTCAGACTTTTTTTGCCATCTACCATCTTAAATTCAGATGGTTGTCAGACACCTAGTTTTTGCAGTGGATGAGTCAACTTTTCAGGCATGAGAAATATCTTAAAAATTCATGTTTAAATGGACTTTGCCGTCTGAATCAGGTGAGATATCTTAATAGTGGAATGTTTGAATCGCTCATAAATAACTGAATTTCAGACACAGAAAATATCTGGAAATAAATGCCTGAAATTTTTCAGACACACGAAATGTCTACCATCATTTTCAGACAGAAATGGTGGTTGAAATTTTCAGACATTAGTCAGATTTTCAGACACTTGAAGATTCAGACGTTTTTTACCATCTGACATGTTAAATTCAGATAGCTGTCAGACACCTGGTTTTTGTAGTGAGGGAGATGGCGATATTTTCGTAATCACATTTGTTGTAGCTCCAATCGGCCCTACAAAAAAGATTATAACAAAAATTTTGCTGTCTCCCTTAGATTCCGAAATATTTATTCAAAACTAGGCAACAGTCAAAATTGACTTGAACCGTTTTACCACTTCGCTACTGAATTGAAGGCTTCAATAAAAAAACAGTAATTGGAGGAATAATAATCAATTATCGCACGGTGAATGGAGTGATTTTCCCTCTCATTTCACTGAGTCATCTGCTGGGATTTCTCGCTGCACCCATATTAAGCATCACCCGGTGTTTTCTCGGCTTGCGAAAGGAAGATTGGCGAATCGCTATCGACTGGGAAAGGCAGTGGGCGTCGCCCTCTGACTTAATAGAATCCTCAACTTTGAGCGTTACATGATCTTTCTATTGTTTCGACTTTGTTGTCTTTGATTTCGTTTTCATTCTCGGGTTGATGAAACGCTTTGTGTGAATGAACAGGAAGTGGAAATTGTTGTTTTATTGGACATTTTAGTAAAGAATTTTGGATTATTTGTACACATTTTTAGGAAATGAATGAAATTTCATGCACTTAAAAAATGAGATCTTATTTTATGGTTTCAGAGGTCAATTGGAAGCCTGAAAGTTTTATGTTGAGAATCTCGAAGGTCTCGATTTGAGGTTTTGAAATCTGAATTGAATCAAGTAAGCTTTCGGAGAGCCTCAAGTTTAAATTTTGGGAGAGGTTAATTTGAGACTTTCGAAGGTCTCAATTTAAGAATTTCATAGGGCTCAAGTTGAGGATGTTGAATGACTTAAGTTAAGACCTGCAGAACTCAACTTGAAAATTTTCTTTCAGTCGAATTCTAAAGTCCCAACTAAAGGCTTTTGAAAATCTCAACTTGAGACATTTAAAAATTTTAAATTGATACTTTCAAAAGTCTCAATTTGAGATCAGGAGTCTTAAAATAAAGCTTCTTTCTTTTGGATGATTAATAATAATTAATAATTTTAGGAGAAAAAAAATCATAGAGTTTCACATTTCACTGAAAATTTAATGAAATTACAAATTTCAAAAATTAAAAAAAGTATTTAATTAAAAATTCGAAAATTATTCCGTTAATTAAATTACTTCGTAAATTATAAATTTTTGTGAGCAACAGGAAGACGAGAATTCGTAAACTTACTTGTTAATTTTTACTCAAAATATAAATATTCAGCAGAAAATTACATTGAATTTCCCATTCACTGGAAAATTCTTCTGGTTTTCTTTGATTTTTTCATCAAATTGTGAATTTTCAAAAATTAAATTCCTCGCAATTTCAGCAGAACAGCACAATTGAAAGAAAATAGAAATTTCATAAAAAGTTCTAGGGAGAAACAAAAGATTGAGGAAAAAAAAATCATAAAATTTTAAATCTCACTGAAAATTTAATAAAACTACAAATTTCTGAGCAGCAGAAAATTACTTTGAATTTCCACTTTATTGAAAATTCAATAAATTAACAATTCCATTATTAATTTTTCTGTTCCAAATTTCTCTCAACGAACTAAAAATGAAACGAAGTGAATTAATTTTAACACTAAAAAAATTCTCATCCTTCATAAAGAATACGCTATCGACATGAGAATCCACTCCTCGTGTGTAAGCATCCGTGTAACCGACCCTGTACAGGTACGTCCGTGTGTGCACACCCGTGTAAACCCCCAGCATTAGACAAAAATAGGCAATGAGCATATTCCGAGCAAGTGAGAGCGTACAAATACAAAAGATCCACGCCCTCGTTCAAATGTTACGCGTGGCTCACGCTCGAGGGAGCGCGGAAGGATTACACCTTGCCTCTCTTTCGGTGCACGACAGTGGCATTAATAATATCGTCTGTAAATGCCAGAGAAGCGTCAAAGGGTGCACCTTGAAACTCCCGACGTGTCGAGGTAAAACGAAGGCACTGTTAGAAAAAAAAATGAAATTTCGTGGACAGTTAGCTATTAAAGTAATTCTACCCTTACGGTAAATTCAAAGATTATTGAAAACTGCAAAAAATTGCAGAAAACTCGATTAGATTCGGAATTTTAATTTTTTTCTTAATTTAATTATCGTTTTGGTTTTTCAAAGAAGAAATGTTAAAAAATCAAGATTTAACCCAGTGCCTTATGTGAAAATCAATGTAATCAACGTAATCATTGTAATCAAAGATTAAAATCTGAATTTTTTTACATTAGATGTGAAAAAATCAAGAATTTTTTTGACACCTCATAAAAAATAATCCACTGTTTTGCAAACAAATTTGATTATTCATTTATAAGAGGAAATATTTGAAAAAATATCAATATTTTGCGAAATTTAATTTAGATAATACTAATGNTTTTTTTGACACCTCATAAAAAATAATCCACTGTTTTGCAAACAAATTTGATTATTCATTTATAAGAGGAAATATTTGAAAAAATATCAATATTTTGCGAAATTTAATTTAGATAATACTAATGGGGTATGATTTTTTTCAAATTTTTTCCATGCAATTTAGTTGAAAAATTTAAAAACTGAAAATATTCAAAAGTACAGCGTAGCCCAGCCGAAGAGTAGAGTTACTTTAATTTTCAGGACAGTAACACTAAATGCGATTTAGGGGAAAAGAAGAATGAAATTTCAGGTTTCACTGAAAATTGAGTAAAATTCCAGAATTTTAAGCAAAATACAGACGCGAATTCCATAATTTATTTGAATCTGAATTTCAATATGAATATTCACACGTATGAAAAATTAAATAGAAAAACTTAGTGAATTCGCTAAAAAATTCTGTTGGAATTGTATAGAAACGCTATTGGGATTCTATTAAAATTCTAGAGAATTCTCGGTGGAATTTTATTTTTTTTGCGCTGTTTCTATTAGATTTTTGATGGAAAAAGTCAATAGACTTTGCATTTTCTATATGAATATTCTCTTGGGATTTTTTCTATACGAATAATTGAATATAAGTTTTCTAGGTTTTTTCCAGTCGCATCCTATAATGCAGAACAAAACAAAATACAGCGAAAAAAAATGTCAAGCGAAAAATTTACATAGAAAAATCCAATCTAATGAATTTTCCTATAGAATATCTAATAGAATCAGCGCAAAAAACGAATAGAATTTTCAAGAGAATTCCTTGGAATTTTTAATAGAATTCCAATAGAAATTCTAGAGAAACCCAATAGAATTCTATTAAATTTTTTTAATAAATAAATTCGATAAAAATTTCCAAAAAGTGTAACGGAAATTTCAGACAAAATTTTTTAACAGTGAAATCCAGTATTTCGGGAAAATCGAAACCACGAATTAACGCGATTCTTTGTTGTTGAGGCTACAATGTAAACGAATTACAGGCACTATTGGGATCTGTGGGAATTACGTAAATCGTTGAACGGTATTGGCAACAAAAGCCGCTCGAGGGGGCAATATTACGAAAGTTGTGGCTGACTGCGTTCAATACAAATCTCCTCGTTTACAGGGGTCAGTTCAATAACCTTTCGTAGAACATGATTTTTAGCCTCTGTATGCCTTTTCAGAAAAAATATGGTGAAAAGAAAATTGTTGAGAGAATTTCAAGAGATTGATGTTTGCGTCTGACGCAGTGGAATGGGATTTAAGAAACAGACAATCCATTTTGTCCCAGTATTTTTTTTCTCTATCAAGTAAATGGATTCACGTAAACCTACAGTTCATTTTTTTGTATTTATTCACATCAAATTGATATTTTTTTTACATAAACAAACTAGAGGGCAACGCCCCCAGCTCGCTCCGCTCGCCAACCCTCATGTGACCCGCATAATCCTTAATCTGTCCTTCGTGACCCTTAATCTTACCCTTGCGATCCTTAATTTGTCCCTCGTGACCGTTGTTCCGCCCTTGCGGTCCTTATACTCATCCTCATGACCCTGATTCTTAACCTCGTGACCCTTATGACCCTTATTCTGACTCTCATGACCATTAATTTGACACTTGCGACTCTTATTCTGTCCTTGTGACCCTCAATCTGACTTTCATGATCCTGATTCTGATCCTC